TAAACTTGAGAAATTAAAAAAAAAATTATATATATTCTGCTTACTATCTTTATTAATCAGTTTTATACAAACAAAAACATTGCTTTTGCTACAAAAATCTGAGCTGTTCGCAAAACAATGCAGTCAGGTAATGAAACCTGTATTAAAGTGTTCTTTATACTCCAAGACTGAGCCAAAATCCTAATTATGTTAAAATGTTAAAAAGAGCGGTGAACAAAACAGCATCATATGCAGGTAGTTAGTGACATCTGTATTAACCCCTTAAGGACGGAGCCAAATGTACACGTAGTAAATACACCCACCCTTATTATATATAATTTTATTCAGGGGAAACAGGGCTTTCATTTAAAATCAAATATTTAGCTATGAAACATAATTTAACATGAAAAAAATTGGTGAAAATAAGATTTTTTTTTATTTTTTTAGTTCTACATGACATTTTAACTGTCAATGTCTTAATACTGTCTGCTTTTACTGCAATAAAATACACATATTTGTATTCAGCAAAGTCTCACGTGTAAAACAGTACCCCCATGTACAGGTTTTATGGCATTTGGGAAGTTACAGGGTCAAATATAGCACGTTACATTTGAAATTGAAATTCGCCAGATTGGTTACATTGCCTTTAGGACTTTATAGTAGCCCAGGAATGAAATTTACACCCATAATGGCATACCATTTGCAATAGTAGACAACCCAAGGTATTGCAAATGGGGTATGTCCAGTCTTTTTTAGTAGCCATTTGGTCACAAACACTGGCCAAAGTTAGCGTTAGTATTTGTTTGTGTGTGAAAAATGCAAAAAACGCCAATTTTGGCCAGTGTTTGTGACTAAGTGGCTACTAAAAAAGACTGGACATACCCCGTTTGCAATACCTTGGGTTGTCTACTATTGCAAATGGTATGCCATCATAGGGGTAATTTTCATTCTTGGGCTACCATAGGGTCTCAAAGGCAACGTAACCAATCTGGCGAATTTTAATGTGAAAAAAATGAAACGCAAGCCTTATATTTGACGCTGTAACTTTTGAAAACACCATAAAACCTGTACATGAGGGGTACTGTTGTACTCGGGAGACTTCGCTGAACACAAATATTTGTGTTTCAAAACAGCAAAAAGTATCACAGCAATAATATGTCCGTGTAAGTGCTGTTTGTGCGTGAAAAATGCAAAAAACGTCACTTTTACTGGCGATATCATCGTTGTAATACATTTTACTGTTTTGAAACACTAATATTTGTGTTCAGCGAAGTCTCCCGAGTAGAACAGTACCCCCCATGTACAGGTTTTATGGTGTCTCGGAAAGTTATAGGGTTAAATATAGTGCTAGCAAATTAAATTCCTTTACTTTCGGCATGGGTTGACAGGCAGGTCCCGCTAATCGTAATTAAGATACCTAATTATGTAAAAATATTTCATAAATATATATGTAGAATTAATATAGGTATATATATATGTATGTGAATATATATGTGTGTATATATATATATATATATATAATTTTTTAAAAATATTTTTATTTATATATAGGTATATATAGTGATATATACGTATATATTTATGCATGTAGATATATATTTCGTTCTACGTGTATTTTGATATAAATATATATTTTAATATCACAATACAGTTAGAACGAAATAACACATCTATATATTTTTGAATAATTTTTTTAAATTATTTTTTTAATTAAATTTTTTAACGTATTTACATATTTTATTTTTTATATTATATATAAATATATATAACAATTATATATATATATTTAATCAGTATCAGTCTACGTTTAATTTGATATTAATATCTATAATTATATATATATATATTTATAGTAAAATACACCTAGACAGTGTATATGTGTGTGTATGTATATACATACATACATACATACATATATATATATATATATATATATATATATATACACACACACACTTAGATCATATATATATTATATATAATATATATATGATCTAAGTATATATTTTTTACACTTAAATTTATTTTATTTTTTATTTCCAGACAGCAGGGGGACCACCTGTCATTACAGGCAGTCCCCCTGCTGGCAATGCAGCCTACCCGGCCATGTGATTGTGAGGTCCTCGCAAGGACCTCACTCTCACATGGCCGGGGGGCTTCCAGGGGGTCAGATGTGCCGCGAGGGGCTCCCTGGGAGTCCCCCCCCCACCGCGATCGATGGCGTGGGACCGCCGGCGACCGGGTAAGTAAAGAAAGACCGGAGGGCGGATTCGTTTTACTTTAAGGCTGAGGTGTTTACGTTAAAATCTTTCTAAGAGCTTTATAAAAAAAAACAGCATCCTTCGCAGTGAGTTACTGCCATCTGTTTCAAAGTGTTCAAATCTTTTTGCTCCAAGTCTGACTAAAAAATCCTGCCTAAATTAAATTCTTTTTAAGAATGTTATAAAGAAAACAGCATCCTTTGTAGTCAAGTGGCAAGATCTGTATTTTTCTAAGTGTTTTTTTTTTTTTACCAACAACCAACCATGAATTTGGAACTATTCAGAGAAAAATGACTACTTCTAGCTGTTCCGCACTTACAGAAACAGAGAAATAAGATAAGATACAAGAAGAAATCCAAAAAACATGTCCAAAATAGTTGAATCTACTGTTCCTCAAATAGCACAGACAAGTGACAAGTCAAAGAAAAAGCACACAATGCTAGCCAATCTTCTTCTCAAAAGAAAAGAAAATATGATGACAGCTACTTGTCATTTGGATTAACAAGTGCTAGAAATGAAGATTGTCCTGAAGCACAATGCGTACTTTGCAAGAAAATATTGCCAAAGAGTTCATTAGCACCTGCTAAATTACACCATTTTGAGTGTACAGAGTACAAAGATAAAGACATTGCCTTTAAGCAAAAAAGAGTTTTAGAAATATCAGAAGATTAAACAGTTTGAGCAAAAAATAAAAAAAAAGATAATGAAAAAGCCACAGAGGCTTCTTACAGAGTGAGTTACTGCATAACACTTACCGGAGAAGCACACACAATTGGGGAATCATTAATAAGACCATGTGCAAAAGAAATAGGGTCATGTATTTTAAGTGAGAAGTTGAGTAAAAATATTGAAGCTGTGCCACTTTCAAACAACACAGTTTTGAACCATATTCATGATCTTGCTGATGACATCCTTAACTCAACTAATTTCTCAACTGCATCAATGTGATGGGTACTCACTCCAATGAGACGAGTTCACAGATGTTGCAGGACTTTTCAATTTTGTTGGTTTTTGATAGATATAATTTTGAAAAACGGATTGAAGATGATTTGCTTCTATGTGAAACTTTACAAACTCATACAGTTAAAGAGAGCATCTTTAACTGTATCTATAAGTTCATGAACATACACCGTATAAATTGGGACAAATGTGTAGATATGTGCAGTGATGGTGCCAAAGCTATGGTTGGGAAAGTGTCAGGCGCTGTGACACGAATAAGAAATGTAGCAACAACAAAAAAAACAGCTCTAGTTCTCACTGCGTTGTTCACAGACATGCACTGGTAGCTAAAAATATTTATCTCACTTAAAACGGTGCTTGACGAATCAGTCCACATGATTAATTTTATAAAAAGTCGACCATTACAGTCACGACTATTTAAAATTATATGTGAAGATATGGGTAGTCACCACTCTGCTTTTGCATTCAGAAGTACCGTATATACTCAAGTATACACACACACTTTGTTCCCCCCATTAATAATGTTTATTGCACTAAGGGGCACTTTATTAAAAGTAGTGGGGGTTGTTTTTTTTACAAACAGTGAGCAGCCGCTGGCTGCTCACTGTTTAGTAGTTAAGCCCCTACATCTAATCTTTACTTAGTATTAGTAAATTTGTCTGAAAGACCAATTCAGGTATTTTAGTAGATAGCTCCCTAATACCATGGTAATTCGGGAGCCATCTACTCGCGGCACGAATAGGATCGTAGTTTCATTCATTCGAATTAAATTCCCTTTCCTAACAAAAACCTCTAGAATTGCGTCCTAACACGAGTGGACAAACTGTTCTCATTTGGTTAGGACGAAATTCTGTAGTTTTGCCGGCATTTGAACGCCGAATGAAGCAGCAGGAGAAAGGTGAGAATTGTGGGAAAATTGCTTTGACCACAGGAAATGGAGCGGACTTTGCTCCTCCCCTAGTCCCTACTTTGCCTTATATTTTAAAGAAAACTAGACCAGACAGGAATAAATGAAGGGACTATTTTACGCTATTTATATCCTATGCTCAATATGGTGACTACACCTTTTATTTAAATAAACTAATTTTTTATTGCTGAACCCTGACCTGTGGATGTCTTTTTGGTGGAACAAGGATCCAGAGGTGACAAGCAATATCAGCTAACCCCCCATCATTCTAGGGGAGGCACCCTAAGAGCGCTTTTATCATCTACATCTTGTGAGTGCAAAAGATTGTTGCGCATATAATATTGTATCTTTAACAATATCACACTATGTTCTGTTTTATATTCCTTCTGTAGATTTACACAGCTATATCCCGAATCTTCTTTTTTGGTTTATATTAGGAATAAATGAAGAACAGATCCTGAGAGAGGGAGAGAAGAGGAAGCTATTAACCCCTTAAGGACCAAACTTCTGGAATAAAAGGGAATCATGACATGTCACACATGTCATGTGTCCTTAAGGGGTTAAAGAAAGGTAAGTTCGGCAAGACAGTGCCGCTTTAAGTGATTCTGTCATGATTGACCAGGAAATATACATTTTATTGTATTACAGTAACATTGATCTGGAGCTGCTTAAACACCAACGTTAAATCAGCCTATCATTAATTTAAACTTGAAAAACAAAATTATAATTATGTACTGAAGTATTATGAGAGCAGAAAGGGAGGATCTGTGTATTTACAATGACTAAAACAATATAAAAGAAAAAGCAAATACATGACTGACCAAGCCATGCTGAAATTAATTTTCATTTAAAAGTGTAATTTCTGATTTATTAAAAAGTAGAAGTGCAAAAAAGGGATACACAATTTATCAAAACAAGTCTATAGAAGGCAAAGAGAAAAGCCACACATACTGGAACAGATAAAATCTACACAAATCATAAAAATGATATTTGTTTACTGTAAGAAATGTAAGCCATGAAAAAGGTTGATTTTTGTCCAGTAAGAACAATATATTTTATTGTATTGTTTATGCTACAATGATGGATTACTTTGCTTTAAAGCTATGCAAATATACAGCATGTGCCTGTGTAAATGAAATGGCCTAAAATAAATACTAATAAAATATAACTCATTTTCTAAAAAAAAAAAGCATCCAAAAGAAGGTTGTACCAAGTTGAAAAAAGTTACACAGGTAAGATAGGATACAGTTAATTTATTCTTCTGCTGTGCATGAAATTTTACTATGAAGTCACAAATAAAAGGTTACCACGCAACAGACACATTAGGAAATTCAATATTGTGGCAGTTCATAAAATAATTAAAATATATTCTGTACATTAGTATTGTGTTATATATAAAAAAGAAAAAAAAAAGAAAAGAAAAAGGGATTGCTAAAGAATTGATCAGTCTCTCTCTTTCATCGTATAGAGTATAGCCAATATTACGGGACCAGGAACACCAGACTTGAGAACAGACTGTTGTGTACAGCAAAAAGGAGTTCTATAGAACAGTTGAGCATTCATATTTATCTGTTCAGTAAATCGTCATCCGTGCATTCCAGTCCGTATGTCCTACAAGCTGAGATTCACATTCTCTGTGTTCAGTTTACCACCACTAAGGCTGTGTATCATGGCAATCATGTGAGAGTGCTTGTTTAACTCATCTTGCTGTAACTTTACTACTGCTTCTTTTTCTTCCAAACGTGCTTCAAGCTGTGTCTTTTGAACTTCTAAAGAGGATACCTGTGATTTAATGATATGCAGTCAGTTAAAACTACAATTCTGTAATACAGTTGTATATGTATATATAAATCAGATACCCTAAATCTTGTTAATTCCTACCCTAATGCTGAGTTCCTTCCTTGCTTGCTCAGTTTTGCTCAGTTCTTTCCGGAGAATGTCAATGGTTTCCTCCATATCTTCTTTCTCTTTTTGTTTCAATTTGATTTTCTCTTCCAGTGCTTTCACTTTCTGCTGCAAATCTAAAATAATAATAATAGGACAACAACATAAAGCAGCTTCTATAGGAAAACACAAAGCACTATAACCACTACAGTACTGGCAATCTCCTTGGTCCCCCATTCTTTTAAAAAGAGTCAAACCTCCAACTCTGCTTTTGGAGCACATTTTGGTTAATTTAGCCTGAACTTTGCATGTGGTTTTCAAGTTACAATTTTGTATTTAATGAATAAACTCTGATCTCAAGAAAGCAGCAGAAAGATTCACAGCTGACAAATATTAATGCAGTGTCAACGATTGGCTGGAGTGTGCACGGACATGGTCAGCAAATGTCTCCAGGTTGATTTTATTTGTTTACTGAATGATGATTATGCAACTCTTATCTTAAAGGGTTAATACAACCAACATGGTCACATCTGCTTTAGATCTTTAAAAGTGGAAGTGAGTGTTTCTCATAAAGAAGAGTAATTTTGGGAGTGTGTGTAACATAGATCTTCAAGGCTTCTTTGGAACACTGGAACTGTATATATCTATATCTACCCATCAATACACAAACATAGGCAAACTAACGAAATACCTATTAGTCCACAAAAAATAAATACAATGTATAGAGGCACTTACTGAAAAAGCATGAGTTTAAGCACCAAAGCTTCTGCTTAATAAAATGGCTTTGGTGCATAGATCATGCCACTGCAATCTAACTACGCAAAGCTCTTTCATTTAAGAGTTAAATTACTATATCTGTAGCCCTTGGAACACCTCCCTTGGCTGTCAATCACACAGCCTTACTTAACATTTCCTGAAAATATGTATCCACTTAGATCGTATCTTATGTAAAGGTCCCCAGAGTGTTTAATTTAGGATTTGAATTTAAAGTAAGGAGCTTTTATCTCCCTGCTCAGAGCTGTGGAGATGTCAGCTACCACCAGTATTAAACACAGCCCCATCAGTAATATAAATTAATTGAGAACTTTATATACATTACGGGTCTGGTTGAGCACTCAATAGAAAATACTGCAAGCAATTTCACGGCCAGTGTAATCAGGGACACCCTGTATTGAATGCCAGGTTAGGCAAATGCACAGCAGGAATATAAAGTGTGGTTAAAGTTCATTAAGATGCCAAGAATAATCTAAATAAACGTTATATGTATTCACACTCATTGTCTGGGCTAATATTTTGCATGAATGAGAATATAATACAAGACTCAAATAATTTCATTCATTATACACACACCTGAGAAAACAGAATAAAATATTTTCTGAATAGAGTAAAGCTAGAAATATTGACATTTTGATTAGTATTTAATCCAGTTACAGAAAAGCAAATTACTCACTCAGTATTTTAGCTTCCCTGTCTTGAAGTTGTTTGGCTAATTCTTTTCGTTGACTTTCAGTATCTTCTAGTTGTGAAATTGTTCTAAAACGTGAACAAGTAAATTCAAATTAATCTTTGAACAATATTTGCAGTTTATACCTATGTGAAATATGTGTGTGTTGTACATATACATAGTTGTGTGAGTACATGGGGACATAGACAGGAAGTAAAAAAGGTGATAGTGAAACTAGAAAGCAGACGGCATGGCTTACTGGAAATCATGACAATAAGTATGTTCATCACAAAATGTATCTGGTAACTCCATTGCTTGTGCAAATCGACAACCTACGTCCTATTGATGAAATGTTATGCTCTATAAATAGCAAAATGTATTTTGACTGAAGAAAAAAAAAAAAAAAAACCCCAGCTTTAACCAACAGTAAATATATGATATCTTCTATTGCTTTTTTTTTTTTACCATTGCCTGTAAATACAAACACCTGATTTGATACAGAAAAAACAAAACTCACTTTTCATTCTGCACCTTGAGAGAATCATTGATCTTTTTCATGGTTTCAGCCTGTTTATTTAACACATTATATGATGCCTGTAATTCTTTGTACTGCTTTTCACAGAGCTCATACCTACAATGAAGCAAAAATATATAATTATTACCACCTCAGTAAGCCAGTTTATGGCCAGTGCACATCTACATTACTTCTATATAGAATATTAAAAATAATCAATAACGTATTTTAAAAAAATAAATAAATAAAAAATTCTGTAACCTGTGCACGGCAAAAAAAGCACACAAAAGACCAAAAAACAAAACAAAACAGTTGTCAAAAACTCCTGGTCCTAATTCTAAACAGATTTCGACAGAACTCCAACCCTTAATCTAGTATAACCCTTGAAGCACGTCAGCTTGCTTAAGTGTATGATGTGTAAAGTGTGTGGCATCTTTCTTTCATTTTGCAAAAAATGCCAATTTCAACAGAATTTGGCACTTTTTTTATTTTTTTATTTTTATTATTAAACGTTTGCTCAAAACACCTGCCTTACAAAGACTTCTCATTGAGAAGTCTGATTGGGCAGCCACAGAAAGTCTGGGCTAGAATCAGAAGGCTTGCAAAGGATTAGAAGATGTGCAGCTTTCACAAGCGGTTTTTAGTTATCCCTCAATTAAAAATTGCATAATTAAATGCATGCATGTTTTCATTAAGGGCATATTCTAAACAATGATTTCTATTTTTCCCCCCTATATTTAAGCAATGGTGTGTCGTTTGAGGTACGTGCATTTTCTATTTTGCAAAAAGTACTAGAAAGATAAAAACCTTACTGAATATAAAGCAGTGTACGTGGTAATTTTTTTTTTTAAATCTTGGTTTGAAGATATCGGCAGAAAATTTTACCCAACGTCGCTCCATGCTACCTTATTCATGCAGCAAACATTCACACACCTGTCATGAGCTTACTTCCCTCCAACCAATTGTATTATTTTAAGCTGTCAAAAATAAATATTAATTTATTACTAGAATAATTAATCTAAAGAAAGAAGAAAAAAAAGCCACACTTAATATGTACACTAAAAGGAACACTTTCGTGTTCGATAGACAAAGATGTATTCCTAACACCAACATGCTCTGCTGCCCCCGCAGCCCTCTCCCATTGTTGTAAAGGGTTAAATAACCTTTTAGTCATTTACCCAACTCCAGCGCAGAGGTTGCGGTCTGTCTCCTCTGACGTCATCCAATTTGAGGCGGGGGGGGGGGGGGGAGTGGGAAGGAGGAAGAATCTAATGTTCATTTCCTATGGGGTTTTCTCTGATGCTGGACATCCTTGTGCAGAGCGTGAGGATGTGCAGCATCACTTCACTAAGTCAAAAGCGCCTCTAGTGGCTGTCTGGTAAATAGCCATTTGAGGAAGTCTTAGTACTGCACTTACTCTAAAACTGAGTTAAATTGCAGGACTAAGGGCACAGGGACACTGCACCCATATCACTTCAATGAGCTGAAGTGGTCTGGGTGCCTCTAGCATCCCTTTAAGCATTTTGGACAGTTATACATCTACTTTAAGTTACTTGTGGTCTTTAGCGTTCTCTAGTCAGAAGCAGCTCTCATCTTCTCATAACATGCACAATTTCAAAATCTGAAGCCATCCCACATTGCATGTTTTGTAATTCCTAGGCTTGTACAGGATATTAAGATGCATGAATGTGCACTAGTCCGGGATCACATGTATGGTGTTTGGTTGAAGCTATGCTTCTAATCAAACATTTAAAAATGGCTGCTCACATAAAGCACATGTAAGGACTTAGAAAATATATATCAAGAATAGAATTTTACATGCAATCTCCATTATTAATAAGTAAAATTGTGCCTTATTAGAACTGTATACATCTTTTTCAAGATGTCAACTAGTCAAGTGTGCTTACTTTATTAGGTGGTCAGCATACGAAATCTTTAACGTCTCATGCTCGTCTGCAACAGCTTGCAGCTTCTTGCTGTGTTGAAACAGCTGCTCAATGTCACTCTTTGCTCGTTCAGACTCAACTTGCTGAGATTTCAAAAGCAAACCCAATTCTTCATTTTTTCTTTCTGTATCCGTTAGCAATGCAGCAAGCTTTCTAGCCTACAGTATTTTGGCAGAAAGGAAGAGGTTTGATTTTAAATAAGCAGACATTCATAATGGCTACTGCAAACATAAAAATCAAGAATAGGGATTCAAGTGGCATACTGGACATTCCTTATGATGATATCCATAATATATACATGTAAGAGCAAAAGGAGTGCAAAGAAGAACTTAAGTATTTATCAAGAGTATTCTGAAGGAACACATAGAATCCACTTCCAAATGCACAAAAAAATAACACTTATTAGAATGTTGCTTAGGTCATTTGCAAATGCAGTAGTTAAAGTGTCACTTGGTTATAATTTATTTAATTTCCATTTCAAGGGTGGATATAGGTGCGCTACGAGATTTGGTCCAGAAGCATGTCAGTGCGAAGATGACTGCTCTTAAAAAGTGAATAGATATAAGCTGTAATATTTGGAAAGGAAAGCATAAACTTGATAGATGCATGTCTTTTTTTATGTAATAAAAAAAATAAAAAATATAGAATATATCTCTATCCAAAATAAGGACCAAAAGGGCACAGGATTAAATCTTGAACTATTAAATTAAAGGAAGCAGGTTAAGGTCTCTATTCTAAGCTCTAAGATGCAATAAGGGCCACAATAACATTTTAAATGCTTTCACAACTAAACTTGCAGACAAAAAGTACAATTTCATCGCAATTATCAACCCTGCAAATATATCTTGTACAAACTCCATCTGTAAGCAATGCTGAGACATAAAATAGTTTGACAGATACTTCTGGACTGCATCTCTCTCACCTCGGCTTCAGCCTGGGCTCTCTGGCAGCGGTATTGAGAGATCAGTCTATCAGCTTGTGCAAGAGCTAGTGCCTTTGCTTCCAAAAGATCTTGCAGCCGGCTTTCTTTGGACTGGAAGTGAAGGGGGTGGAAAAAAAATAAATAAGTGTACAAATGTAAACAATGTAGCTTTAGATGAACGAATTAAAGGACCACTATAGGCAGAGGCGGCTCTAGACTTTGCAAGGCCTTAGGCGAAAGTCAAACATGAGGCCCCCCATTTACACCATTAGTGAAAAAAATTGCCGCAGCTCCCTATGCCGCTGCGTTGTGAGCACTTTTACTGTAGATATGACATAAATTGCTAATCATTTGTATACGATTGCAGGGTATGGTTGTATAGCCTGACATTTCCCCACATATTCTAAATTCCTTAACATGTATATTATCATATATGTGTTTCCCTATGTATTTTATATGTATGTATGCATTCATGCATATATATGTTGCTTGCAACTTTATCTTTGCATTGCCCATATCATACCACAACCACACTGCAGACACACGCACACATTTAAACACTAATACACAAATACATATACACACTGATACATGCACATGCATTTACACACACACACACACACACACACACAAACACACTGATGAACACATATTGACTAATACAAACATACAGTCACAATGTGTTTATCTGGCTGTGTGTATTTCTGAATGTGTCTGGCATTGTCTGTCTGTGTATGTGCCTGAGAGTGTGTCTGACAGTGAGTACCCTTGTATGTGAATGTACGTTTCTGTGAGCATGTGTATGTTTGTGTCTAGGACCGTATGTGTGTGTGGTAGCTGCTTGCGGTATTTTTTGTATATGGACTGTGGCCTTTGTGCATTTTGTCTGTGGTGACAGTGTGTGTGTGGGGAATGGTGACAGGGTGTGTGGAGGGAGGTGACAGGGTGTCGAAAGGGGAGACTGTGTGTGTGAGTGGAGGGGATGACAGAGTGTGAAATGACGTGAAAGAGAGTGGAGGGGGCTGACAGAGTGTGGAAGGGGGTGACAGAGTGTGGAAGGGGGTGACAGAGTGTGGAAGGGGGTGACAGAGTGTGGAAGGGATTAACAGAGTGTGAAAGGGGGTGACAGGTCGCTGAGGGAGGGATGGGGTGACAGAGTTAGGGGGTGGCAGAGTGAAGGGTGGGCAGGTGGCTGAGGGTGACAGGGGTCAGAGTGAGGGAAGGTATGGGTGACAGGGGTCAGAGTGAGGGAAGGTATGGGTGACAGGGGACAGAGTGAGGGAAGGTATGGGTGACAGGTGTCAGAATTAGGGTAAAGGGGGTGACAGGTGTCAGAGTGAGGGCCACAGTGAGGGGGTGACAGTTGTCAGTGAGGGAGGGGCTCACAGGGGGCAGAGTGAGGGGGTGACAGAGGGCAGAGTCAGGGAGGGAGGGGGTGACAGCGGGCTTAGTGAGGGGGCTTACTGGGACCCCAGGACGGGGACTTGGTGACGGGTGACAGGGGACTCCTGTGAGGGGGGACAGGGGACCCAGGGGGTGACAGGGGACTGTGAGGGGGTGACAGGGACGAGGGGGTGACAGGGGACGAGGGGTGACAGGGGACGAGGGGTGACAGGACCCAGGGGGTGACAGGGGACTTAGGGGTGACAGGGGACTTAGGGGTGACAGGGGACTTAGGGGTGACAGGGGCTTGGTGAGGGGGGTGACAGGGGCTTCTGTGAGGGGTGACAGGGGCTTGGCAGGAGGGGGTGACAGGGGCTTGGTGAGGGGGGTGACAGGGCTTGGTGAGGGGGTGGACAGGGGGCTTGGTGAGGGGGTGACAGGGGGCTTGTGAGAGGGTGACAGGGGGCTTGGTGTGAGGGGTGACAGGGGACTTAGGGGGGTGACAGGGGGCTTGGTGAGAGGGTGACAGGGGACTTAGGGGGTGACAGGGGACTTAGGGGGTGACAGGGGACTTAGGGGGTGACAGGGGACTTAGAGGGTGACAGGGGACTTAGGGGTGACAGGGGACTTTGAGGGGTGACAGGGGGCTTAGGGGTGACAGGGGACTTAGTGAGGGAGGGGTAATTAACTACCTTTGCAGGTGTCCCTGGTGGTCCAGTGTCCTGGCTCCCTGGTGGGCCTCCTATCCGGTCTGCAGCTCCGCCAGGTGTGAGCTGCAGACCACGTGATAGGAGTCTTGCGATCTCCAGAAGTCAGAGCGTTGCCGTGGTAACCCGCAGCAATGCTCTGATTGGCTGGGGATCGTGAGACACTTCAGTCTGCAGCTCACACCCGGAGGAGCTGCAGACTGAAGGCTGGCTCTCCGGGCGGACTGAGGGGGCCTCGCACCCGGCGGAATAAAGGGCAAGCCGCCGGGTCCCCCCTGATGTCGGATCCTCGGTCATGGACCGAGGATCCAACATGTATGTCTGCCCCCAAGGCGATTTAGGCGGCCGCGAGGCCCCAGGCAGCGCGAGGCCTTAGGCGGCCGCCTAAATCGCCTAATTAGAGAGCCGCCTCTGACTATAGGCATCCAGACCACTTCAGCTCAATGAAGTGGTGTGGGTGCCAGGTACATCCATGGTTAACCCTGCAGCTGTAAACAGCTATGTTTACATTAGGGTTAATCCAGCCTCTCATTGACAGCTGCTAGAGACGCTTCCGCACTTCTCACTGATTTTCAGTGAGAAGCTCTTGCCACGCATTTGTGCATTAAGCGGATGACGTCGGAAGTGGGAGGAGAGTCCGCGGCGCTGGAGAAAGGTAAGTGTTTAACACCTTAACCCCTCTTGAGCCCAGTGGGAAGGGGATCCTGGGGGTGGGGGGACCCAAAGACCCTATAGTGCCAGGAAAACAAGTTCTTCCTTTAATATATTTTTAAAAGATTATACCTACAAACCATCAACCAAAACTGGATGAAGAGCTAAATATTTACTATCAGACACTCACAGCAAGAGCAGAAAGTTTCTGTTCATACACATCCATAATATCTGAAATCCGCACATCATTTACATGGTCTTTCAGCTACAAAGGAAAAAAAATATATATTAATAGTTATAATAGCGCAGGAAAACATTTGTTACACTGTTGACCTTCACAAATGCTACCTCCATTCCAGTCTGCAGCTTTAATACAAGTTCCTGAACATTGGACGATGAAATATCCGTATTCTGTATGTTTGTCTGTGGAGTTTTATAGCTACTGCCAGTAAGCTGCATTCCAAACCTTTTAGCTGGGTGTTCTGTGTCTTGCTGAATATATGCATTATTTGCAGCAATGCATTCTCCAAGTCTGGATAATGGTAAAAAATAAATGAATAAAAGAATAATAAAAAAAAACAACAATATCAGAAGACACATGATAACAAAAAAAAAAAATAATTTGCACAAGTTAATTACCAAATGTACATGTACATATTGGTTTCCTGGATGTGAACAATAGTAAACAGACTTACTATAGAATTAACTTAGTTTAAATTTATAACTCTCTTCCATGATAGTCTACCCGCTACAGGAATATCTATGACCATTTCAGTGCTAAATCTTTTGAAAAACATGCAACAATCCAGTATCAGAACAATAAACTCTAGTAATAAATAATAATAATAATAAAAAAAAAATACTTTGTAGAATAGATTTTAAAACGTCAACATTGTTATCCCAGCAGATTAAATAAAAGCATATATCATTGTTACAATGACATTTTAGACAGCTATTGGCGATCAGTAAAGACTTTTTTTACAGGACGCAAAAAACCCTTTCTTAGCAAATACCGTTCATGCAGATGCAGCACATGTGGTTTGGCTGTAGTGAGGGCATTCAACAAGTTCAGCCAGATTAGTAAATCTGAATTCTAGTGGGATTGAATAGTACATAGGAAAAGTAAAAATAAATCTTAAAACTTTAAAATGGGAAGTTATAATATACTCACACAACAGCAGGAAAGTCAGGGAGGGGTGCAGCTTCAAACAGTATTCTAAGTCCAGCTTGAACTCTCTCTCGGTTATCCGATGTTAATGCAAATGACAGTGGTGTAATTAAGCGATGGTCCTTAATCCATATAATGCAAAATGAACAAATAGAATAATTTATAAGTTAGGAGGTAACACTGCAGCATTATTTCTAAAAGCATTTGATAGCTATAAAAAAGGTCTAAATAATATCTATATTTATGCACACACCTGGCTCAAATGTTCACTCACCACAAAATGTAGGCCTGGCGAGTAGAAATTCATCCAGCATCCCCCCCCCATGATATGATATTTTAAAAGCCTGGCTAGTGGTGAATAACTTGACGTTTTAAGTAAGGGAATTACACAAGTACATGTATCATAGCCCTTAAAAGGGACATAGTGTCACTAAAGCAACTTCAGCTTAATAAAGCAGTTTTAGTGTATAGATGATGCTCCTGCAGTCTCACTGCTCAATTCTCTGCCATCACTTTTGTTTCTGTTTATGCAGCCCAAGCCACACCACCTGTTGATGTGACTCACGCAGCCAGCATGGAAAAATTATTGCTTCATTTTCAATCAGATGTTAACTTGCTTTAGATATTCTTATCTCCAGATCTGTAAATTGAACCTAAATCACATATAACAGACTCATGCAGGGTGTAGAAGCCTCAACGATGCTGCCATCCATCAAAAGAAGAGTTAAAATTTGTATGTACAAAAATATCATAGCGTAACATGGCACATGCCGACTCCAGGCACCATCACCACTTCAAATCAATACAGTGGTAATAGTGCTTGGAGTAACACTTTAAAGGACACAGCCGATTAGTTGCTTGAAAATAAATGTTTGCACCATTCCTTTACAGAACTCAAGTAGGTATTGGCCAGGTGATTTCATAAATGGATGGTTCAAAATAATACGGACATTTTTTACCAAGACTGAACTAAATAAATTAAAAAAAAAAAAAAATACTGAGGTACATCACAAATATTTATAATTTTTTGTTTTGTAAAATCCATGTTTCTTACCTGAAGTATTTTGTAAAAAGCAGCTTCCATATTTTTAACCAACTGCTTCAGTCTACTCATGAGATCAAGGGTTTTCAGGAGTACGTCTGCAGAAGCTTTGCTTCAAAATATTATCAATAGTTATTATTTCAGAAAATAATTTACACAGTAATATAAAATGCCTAAAAATATATATAATGTAATACAAAAGGAGCCTTTACCAACAACAGCTATACACTTACAAGAGTTCTGAATCCACAATTTGTGTGGCAAACCCAGAATCCACACCACTGCATGAAAACTGATAATCTACCAGCGAAACACATCTGTTGACAGCTATTGTTTTAGCAATGCGGGACTTTAAATTGTCGTCATCACACAGGAGTAGGCAAGATTAAGGAAAATAAACTTCAAGTGTTTTAATAATGGTCACGACATCAAAGGCTTTCAGCAACAAAGTGTATCGGTGTAGACTCGCTTTATTTAAAAGAGAACTTCCTCTCATTCCTTACTACTCTCTCCCCGCCCTCCTCCTGTTGGCTCTGACCACACACAGCCAGCCAGGGGCAAAACAACGCTGAGACAAGTAATTGCACAAGACAACCAACACACCAGTATACACACACTCCCTTATATCTTACCAACTGGAAAAACTTCTCTTAGCAAACAATGTTAGACATGAAATTTACCATGCATGTATCGTACGCTCTCAAATGGATATTACATTGTATACTATGCTGAACTACCTGACACTGTACTCGGACATGTGTATGATCACACCCATCTGTAACTATTGAATGACCTTAATAAAAACTGATTAAAGGACCACTATAGGCACCCAGACCACTTCAGCTTAATGAGGTGGTCTGGGTGCCAGGTCCAGCTAGGTTTAACCCTTTTTTCTATAAACATAGCAGTTTCAGAGAAACTGCTATGTTTATAAATGGATTAATCCAGCCTCTAGTGGCTGTCTCATTGACAGCAGCTAGAGGGCTTCCGCGACGCCAGCATCTATAGAAAAGCATTGTGAATGCTTTCCTATGGACTGGCTGAATGCGCGCGCGGCTCCTGCCGCGCATGCGCATTCAGGCGAGGAGGAGGCGGAGAGGAGCTCCCCTCCCGGCGCTGGAGAAAGAGGTAAGTTTAACCCCTTCCTCCCCCTAAAGCCCGGCGGGAAGGGGAACCTGAGGGTGGAGGCACCCTCAGGGCACTATAGTGCCAGGAAACAAGTATGTTTTCCTGACACTATAGTGGTCCTTTAAACTTCAACCAAGGTAGGATTAATGCAATTATAAAATCTGTTACCCTTTACATGTCAAAGAAAGCTTTATTCATTGGTTAATAAAAACCCTTTTCTATTTAAGCACAAATATAAAGGTTTATTTTTATAAAGTTTTTGAAAACTATTCCTGAAAAACTTTTTTTGGAAAATTTTCAATCAAAACAAGGATTTATACAGAACATTAGAAGGATTTGTAGAGTGAGGGTAGAATGGTTTTGTTTTCCTAGAGGCAAATATGATTTAATTTAGCTTTATTTGGGCATCTGTGTTTAATGGTATGCATTAATTCACAAGAGATAAGTAGAGTAGTTCATGTAGCTCAAAAATACAGTTATGAATTAAAATAGAATTAGTACTTCCAACATTGGCAGCAAAGGGATAACATCAACAAGCTGGATCTAGATTTTGGGGTGGGCTAATGCCAATTTTGTGTGTGCAACTTTCATTGCAGACTTGCATTTATTGACAGAGCAGCTCTGCAGATGTGCATCACCGGACCACCAGAGTGTATTGAAGCCTGACAGCCACCTAGCTAAGGTGACAAACAGTCCAGAGTACTTTGACATCATAACCAGTATATTGGGTTGTAGTTCTGTAACTCTAAGTCATACAGAAAGATACTAGAATGGCAAAGAAATGCATGTATTTATTTCTGCTGCAAAATTGCATCAGCTAATGGTCAGGACAGAAACATCCCATTATCATTTGGAGTTGAAATGCCACGTTCACAGCACTCTAGATGCTAACAGTTTAAATAAACCTGCACAAAAACAGAATTAATTAAATCCATGCAATTGTGTGTTTGCAATATATATATATATATATATATATCTCAATTCGAGGCAGACGTTTGGCAACTCGAACCTTCAGCTCCCTCCACAGATTTTCTTTGGGATTAAGGTCTGGAGACTGCGATTTTAAATTAGAATTTTCAGCTGAACCAGTGTGGGGGGCACTGTCCAGCAAAGGTGTTGTAGAACCATTGTAGGACAGTTCCGATAAAACTTGGGATAGTAACAATTACCTAAACCTGTTGCACGACGTGGTTGTGCCACAACTCGGAACTAGGGCTTGCTTTGCCAAACTGCTCTTCCAACAAGACGGGTCACCTACTTTTGCAGCAATGGATCAGACGACGTGGCAGCATTGAATGGCTGTCACGTTCACCCAACCTAACACCAATGACTTTTTTGGGGGTGCAGTAAAGAATAAGGTTTTGAGAGAATTGAATGAATTAAAAAAAAAAAAAAAAAAAAGTTCAACTCAGAAGCATTTAAGGACATTGATGTAGACCAGAATATGTGTCGTACGGTCAGCCACAGTGCAATGGATAGATTCGAGGGATGTTGCAATATTGATGGAAGATATTTCAAGCACTTCCGATTAAATATAAATTTAATAAAAAGCAAATAAATTACACTGTATACCTACGAGTGTGAGTGTGTGTGTGTGTATACACACTTAGTGTTACTGTGCTTCTTAAATTATAATAGCTGATTATTTGTGAGCTGCTTTAAAGTATGAAATTGCAGCAGCCAAACAGCACCTGAGTGTCACAGGTGAGCCAATGAGATTGCAGCGTCTCACTGTGCAGGCAAAAAGAAATGCTTATCTGAATTGTTGAAGCCGAGCGCCACTGTACTAGGGATTGGCCGATATTGAGGTTTTTAGAGCTAACACTGAATCTGTTAACTTTCTACCCAGCACACTCTTACTTCCCTTCTCAGCAGCTCCCCTGTCTAAATCTCCCGGCCTGTGAGCCGCGCGGAGCATTGCCATGGTAACCCATGACAACGCTCTGAAGGCCGCGGTACTCGCGAGAGTTTGACAGGGGAGCTAAATGGTCCTACTGGGAAGGTAAGTAAGTGTGCTGCGGACTCTTCAGGACCCTGATGGCGGCCTTGGTCTGCATTATCGGCAATATTGGTATCTTTATTGGTCGATACGGATATTGCTGAAAATACATATTGGCCGATAATATCGGGCAGACCGATAATCGGCGATCCCTACAACGTACCTTTAAAAAAGTTAAAGTTATGTGTGACATATATTGCCAATTTTCAATGTGAATTTCCAAATGCAGTCATTTTTAGTTAGAAAGCAAAAGGTTTTGCATTATTAACATTTTAACTATTCCAGAAGGTAAGATTACAAAGTATTGTGAAGGATATTTATTAAGACTTCCACTGCTTTTGAGAGTCTTTCACATCTCTTCTTTGCAAGTACTTCATTCAGTGTTTGATCAGGAATAAGAAATTGATCCAGAATGACTGGCAGAAGTAGATCTACCACACGTTCTGCAGGTTGGCTGTTAGCATTGTCAATAGTATCCTGAAAAAAGAAAATACATCAGATTTTTAGAAAAGCCTTTAAGTATGAAATTATAACAGTTTGTGAGGTCTAGGTTTGCAAATGCCAATAAATGTGAGAGGTGCTGTAGACTGGAAGTAGAGACTAAAAACTATTATATTGCATTATAAATATTAGCATTTCTTGCACACATTGCATGGAGAGGGCAATATGAAATGCATTTGTTTTCATCCGAATTTCTGCTTTTCACAATAACTCTGGGACCTCTAGCTTCTCCCCCCCAGTGACTAAGGTCCCCAAAGCCCCTTTGTCACTCATCACAATTTTAGGACCGCCATTTAGATTATTGCATCACTGGCGGTGCATGGGTAATCCCTATTCTGTAGTATTTTTTTAGTAAGAAATACATGAAAAATTATAAAAAGAAAAGCAATTGGAAAAAGGTAAGTACGGCATGACAGTGCCACTTTACACCAATTGTTCTTGCGAAGATGGCCAAAGGTACTTCACTGCTTTGTTGCCTCTCATTTTGGTAATAACAATCCCAACCAAAGCACTCTTGCAATAATTTATTGAAAGAACACACTAAATACAGATTTTAACAAGGGTCATGCAATATGCACAAAATATTTGAACATAAAGCTGCTTAAATTTGCCTGAGTGGCATTAGTTGGCACATACATACCGCAAACAACTCTTTGAAAAGTCCAAGTGCCAAAACAACTGAGTTTTGTGGTGCTTCCAGAGGCTGGCTTGACCAATGAACAAGTGCAATAACTGGCTCTAATTTTTCTGCAGATTTTCCACGAGGACCAAGTCTTCCATTTCCTGATGCAATAATACTAGATTGTTCAAGTACTGCTTGTCGCAAAATGAGACGCAGCTTAGTCACTGAACAGAAAGCCAGTAACAATTCTAAAACCTGAAAAATTATACAAAAAGAGGTTACAAAGTATATCTTAAAACATGATCAAATGCCATTATATTTACACAAATGCTTAACCTAGAAATGTTTGTGAGATCTTACATCACATGGTAATAAATTAGTAAATCAGATAAAATTTAAATAAAAAGACCAATTTATTTAAATAAGAAAATAATCAATGTACCTTGGAAGCCGAATCTGGATCCTTGCCGTGAAGAAGGCCAAGCACTTGATTTAGACATGAATTAAAGTGCTCGTACCTAAGTAAACAAAAAAATACTTTTCTATTCATTGATCTGAAAACAAACATTAATTTTACTAGCTATTCATATACTATTATGACTTTCTTGATGCCAGCTGTGGTTTCACATCCCCAACAAAATCTGCTATCCTTTACAGATAGAGACTTCTAATTTCCATAGTACTCTTTCACAGACAAGATCTTTTTCCCCATGCCATTTTTGCAATGTAAACATCTTGCTAAATGTAGACAAAATTACATATAATGTTGCTAGAAAGATATTGAATTATCGTCCAAAGAGAAGAGATAGCATTAGTCTAATGCTTCCGCATTCTACTGGGCAATTGCTTACTTTTTTTTTTAAACAATGAAGTGTTCCTTTAAAACAGATAAGCCAAATGTGTTACTTTAAGGGACACTATAGTCAGCAGAACCAGTGCGGCTTAAAGGGACAATCCAGGCACCCAGACCACTTCTGCCCATAGGAGTGGTCTGGGTGCCAACTCCCACTACCCTTAACCCTGCAACTGTAAATATTGCCGTTTTCATAAACAGCAATATTTACATTGCAGGGTTAACTCCTTCTCTAGTGGACCTCCAGCGTCACTGAAATGCTTTCCTATGGGGAGGTCTAATGCGCGTGCGCGGCATTGCCACGTATGCGCGTTAGGTCTCCCAGGGCGCGCATGCGCAATAGGTATCACCCGCTGGACCCTGAACCAGCACCAAGGGATATCGGCGCTGGATAAAGATAAGTCACTGAATGGGTTTTAACCCCTTCAGCACCCTGGAATGGGGAGTGGGGACCTGCAGTGCCAGGAAAACTGATTGTTTTCCTGGCACTGGAGTGTCCCCTTAATGTAGTGGGCCTGGTGTCTATAGTCCGTCTCTGCAAGCAGAGTAATGAAAATACTGCCTTTTCAGAGTTTGTATGCAGACTCTTAACACTCACCATAGAGATGCAGCACATGCACAATGGTCTCCGAATAATTGGATTGGCTGAGATCATCAAGATTGATTTCAGCAATGGAGGCAGGGCCAGCAGAGATGAGGTAGAGAGGGGGGCCTGTCAGCTAAACAGCCACTCCGGCACTATAGTTTTAGTAATACATGTTTGCATTCCTAACACTATCGTTTTCCTCTAAATCAATCCACGCACAATAACTCCTAAATGCAGAATTAATGGTTATTGTGATATTAGGATGGAGGCATGATCCCCCTGTTCTCTGTCAAAATCATTTAAATCATGGGTGTCCAACCTTTTGGCTTTCCCAGGCCACACTGAGGGAAGAAAAAGTCTTGGGCCCCCCTACAATATATAATTTATATAATAACACTTCAAAGGCTCTTTCTTAATTTATATATATTTCTTATTTGTTAAGTAGATAAATCCCTTGTCATATTTAAGAATGCCAAATTATGGATCCATCTACTAAACATATGTATATACATACACACAATCACAGACCCATACACAATCACAGCCCTAAAGCTGTGCTCAAAAGTTTGCCTACTCTTGGAGAATTGGTAATATATAAACATGAGTGAGCAGGTAAAATACATTTCTTTTATTTCTTATGGGATTCATATTCAACTTTAGGTTATAACAGAATATGTCTGGCTCTGCGGGTAGTGTAGCACAATCATAAAACAAGACATGGCAACAAAAAAAAAAATGAAATGACCCCTGTTCAAAAGTCTGCATACCCTTAGTTCTTCATACTGTGTATTGCCCCCTTTAGCATCGATTACAGCATGCAGTCTTTTGGAATAGTATCTATGAGGTCCCTAATTTTTGTAGGTGGTATAGCTGCCCATTTATCTTGGCAAAACGACTCATGGTCATGCAAAGTCTTTGGTGAACAGCATATTTGAGATATCCCCAGAGTGGCTCAATGATATTAAGGTCAGGAGACTGATAGCCACTCCAGAACCTTCACATTTTTCTGCTGTAACCACCGGAGGGTCAAGTTAGCTTTGTGCCTTGGGTCATTGTCATGCTGGAAAGTCCAAGAGCGTCCCATGCGCAGTCTTTGTGCAGAAAAATGCAAATTGTCTGCCAGTATTTTCTGATAACATGCTTCATTCATCTTGCCATTAATTTTCACAAGATTCCCTGTCCCCAAAAAAACATAAGTGAGCCACCACCATGCTTCACAGTGGGTATGGTATTCTTTTCACTATAGGCCTTGTTGACCCCTCTTCAAACATAGCACTTATGGTTGTCACCATAAAGCTCTATTTTGGTCTGGTCACTCCAAATTACAGTGTGCCAGAAGCTGTGAGGCATGTCAAGGTATTGTCGGGCATATTGTAACCAAGCCTTTTTGTGGCATTGGCGCAATAAAGGCTCCTTTTTGGCAACTCGACCATGCAGCTCATTTTTGTTCAAAAACAACCACACCGTTTTTCCAGAGCAGTCTATATTTCTGAATTCAAACATTATGACATTTACACTACATTTTTGTTTTTACACTAAATTACATATACACTGCTCAGAATATTCTATTGGCTGTCTAGAACTGTTTATTGAAGGGACACTAGTCACCCAGACCCCTCAGGTATTAACCCTTCACATGTAAACATAACAGTTTCAGAGAAACTGCTATGTTTACATTTGGGGTTAATCCAGCCTCCATCGCACAGAGCGTCCATAGGAAAGCATTGAGAAATGCTTTCCTATTGACACTTTGAAGGCGCATGCGGCACTTGCCGCGCCTGCGCATTCAGCTCCAATGACGTTGGATGGGGAGGAGAGGTCATCAGCACCGAGGGAGCCCGGCGCTGGATTAAGGTAAGCTGCTGAAGAGATTTTAACTCCTTCAGTGCCACGGGAGGGGGCACCCTTAGGACACTATAGTGATCCTTTAATGAAGATGTAAATCAAACGTGCTTTACTCTTTACACAAATCACTGTCTTTTTAATGACATTATTGCACTGGATTTGTTTTTTCAGTATACTAGGCTTAGGAATTGAGTTTAATAGCTATATAAGACATGTGCAGCTAGCAAATATCCAAAACCTATAAGTATAGATTATTTTAAATGTGATAATGACACGCTTCTGTATCATATAGTATTTTACTACTTAAAAAAAAAACAAATATATATATATATATATATATATATACACACATATATATATATATATATATATATACACACATACACACACACACACACACATATATATATATACATACACACACACACACACAGTTGCAAGAAAAAGTATGTGAACCCTTTGGAATGATATGAATTTCTGCACAAAATGGTCATAAAATGTGATCTGATCATCATCTAAGTCACAACAATAGACAATCACAGTATGCTTAAACTAATAACACACAAAGAATGAAATGTTGCCATGTTTTTATTGAACACACCATGTAAACATTCACAGTGCCGGTGGAAAAAGTATGTGAACCCTTAGATTTAATAACTGGTTGAACCTCCTTTGGCAGCAATAATTTCAAACAAACATTTCCTGTAGTTGCAGATCAGACGTGCACAACAGTCAGGAGTAATTCTTGACCATTCCTCTTTACAGAATTGTTTCAGTTCAGCAATATTCTTGGGATGTCTGGTGTGAATCGCTTTCTTGAGGTCATGCCACAGCATCTCAATCGGGTTGAGGTCAGAACTCTGACTGGGCCACTTCAGAAGGCGTATTTTCTTCTGTTTAAGCCACTCTGTTGTTGATTTACTTCTATGCCTTGGGTCATTGTCCTGTTGCAACACCCATCTTCTGTTGAGTTTCAGCTGGTAGACAGATGGCCTTAAGTTCTCCTGCAATGTGTCTTGATAAACTTGGGAATTCATTTTTCCTTCGATGATAGCAATCCGTCCAGGCCCTGACGAAGCAAAGCAGCCCCAAACCATGATGCCACCACCACCATACTTCACAGTTGGGATGAGCTTTTGATATTGGTGTGCTGTGCTTTTTTTATGCCACACAGTGTTGTGTGTTTCTTCCAAACAACTCAACTTTGGTTTCATCTGTCCACAGAATATTTTGCCAGTACTGCTGTGGAACATCCAGGTGCTCTTGTGCAAACTGTAAACGTGCAGCAATGTTTTGTTTGGACAGCAGTGGCTTCCTCTGTGGTATCCTCCCATGAAATCCATTCTTGTTTAGTGTTTTACGTATTGTAGATTCGCTAACAGGGATGTTAGCATTTGCCAGTGACTTTTGTAAGTCTTTAGCTGACACTCTAGGATTCTTCTTCACCTCATTGAGCAGTCTGCGCTGTGCTCTTGCAGTCATCTTTACAGGACGGCCACTCCTAGGGAGAGTAGTAGCAGTGCTGAACTTTCTCCATTTATAGACAATTTGTCTTACCGTGGACTGATGAACAGCAAGGCTTTTGGAGATACTTTTATAACCCTTTCCAGCTTTATGCAAGTCAACAATTCTTAATCGTAGGTCTTCTGAGAGCTCTTTTGTGCGAGTCAGGGCAGCTGTAACCAACACCTCCAATCTCATCTCAATGATTGGACTCCAGTTGGCTGACATCTCACTCCAATTAGCTCTTGGAGATGTCATTAGTCTAGGGGTTCACATACTTTTTCCACCTGCACTGTGAATGTTTACATGGTGTGTTCAATAAAAACATGGCAACATTTCATTCTTTGTGTGTTATTAGTTTAAGCAGACTGTGATTGTCTATTGTTGTGACTTAGATGATGATCAGATCACATTTTATGACCAATTTGTGCAGAAATCCATATCATTCCAAAGGGTACACATACTTTTTCTTGCAATACACCACACACACACACACATATTATATATATATATATATATATATATACCATATATAATAACTATATATATATATATATATATATATATATATATATATATATATATATATATATATATATATATATATATATATACTACTTCTTCTATATATATATACAGGAGTGCAGAATTATTAGGCAAGTTGTATTTTTGAGGATTAATTTTATTATTGAACAACCATGTTCTCAATGAACCCAAAAAACTCATTAATATCAAAGCTGAATATTTTTGGAAGTAGTTTTAGTTTGTTTTTAGTTTTAGCTATGTTAGGGGGATATCTGTGTGTGCAGGTGACTATTACTGTGCATAATTATTAGGCAACTTAACAAAAAACAAATATATACCCATTTCAATTATTTATTATTACCAGTGAAACCAATATAACATCTCAACATTCACAAATATACATTTCTGACATTCACAAAACAAAAACAAATCAGTGACCAATATAGCCACCTTTCTTTGCAAGGACACTCAAAAGCCTGCCATCCATGGATTCTGTCAGTGTTTTGATCTGTTCACCATCAACATTGCGTGCAGCAGCAACCACAGCCTCCCAGACACTGTTCAGAGAGGTGTACTGTTTTCCCTCCTTGTAAATCTCACATTTGATGATGGACCACAGGTTCTCAATGGGGTTCAGATCAGGTGAACAAGGAGGCCATGTCATTAGATTTTCTTCTTTTATACCCTTTCTTGCCAGCCACGCTGTGGAGTACTGGACGCGTGTGATGGAGCATTGTCCTGCATGAAAATCATGTTTTTCTTGAAGGATGCAGACTTCTTCCTGTACCACTGCTTGAAGAAGGTGTCTTCCAGGAACTGGCAGTAGGACTGGGAGTTGAGCTTGACTCCATCCTCAACCCGAAAAGGCCCCACAAGCTCATCTTTGATGATACCAGCCCAAACCAGTACTCCACCTCCACCTTGCTGGCGTCTGAGTCGGACTGGAGCTCTCTGCCCTTTACCAATCCAGCCACGGGCCCATCCATCTGGCCCATCAAGACTCACTCTCATTTCATCAGTCCATAAAACCTTAGAAAAATCAGTCTTGAGATATTTCTTGGCCCAGTCTTGACGTTTCAGCTTGTGTGTCTTGTTCAGTGGTGGTCGTCTTTCAGCCTTTCTTACCTTGGCCATGTCTCTGAGTATTGCACACCTTGTGCTTTTGGGCACTCCAGTGATGTTGCAGCTCTGAAATATGGCCAAACTGGTGGCAAGTGGCATCGTGGCAGCTGCACGCTTGACTTTTCTCAGTTCATGGGCAGTTATTTTGCGCCTTGGTTTTTCCACACGCTTCTTGCGACCCTGTTGACTATTTTGAATGAAACGCTTGATTGTTCGATGATCACGCTTCAGAAGCTTTGCAATTTTAAGAGTGCTGCATCCCTCTGCAAGATATCTCACTATTTTTGACTTTTCTGAGCCTGTCAAGTCCTTCTTTTGACCCATTTTGCCAAAGGAAAGGAAGTTGCCTAATAATTATGCACACCTGATATAGGGTGTTGATGTCATTAGACCACACCCCTTCTCATTACAGAGATGCACATCACCTAATATGCTTAATTGGTAGTAGGCTTTCGAGCCTATACAGCTTGGAGTAAGACAACATGCATAAAGAGGATGATGTGGTCAAAATACTCATTTGCCTAATAATTCTGCACTCCCTGTATATATACACACACATATATATATATATATATATATATATATATATATATATATATATATATATATATATATATATATATATATATATACACACACACACATATATATATATATATATATATATATATATATATATATATATATATACACACACACACATATATATATATATATATATATATATATATATATATACACACACACACACACACACACACATATATATACACACACACACACACATATATACACACACACACACACATACACACATACACACACATATATCTTTATTCAAAGAAAGTATGCTTGGTGTCCATGGCTTAAGTGGTATAGATTGTATTTATGATATCTTTTAAACAGTTTGTTTTTTAAAGTAGAGAATATAAAAATACCATTTGATGTATCACTGTACATGAAAATTTGTGAAATAGTAACTGTTGATAGACAGATTTCTCTTCCCTGAACAAAATACAATCTTAACACACCTCCCACAGCTGTCAATCACACTGCCTCAGTACATAATGATTAGACATAGAAATGTTATCCCAATCGAATGATCAGTGTTAATACACAAAGGGTTTAACTTTAGGATTGTGGAAGACGGTTCTTATTTCCCTGCTTTTGGGGTATAATGTATTTGTTCAAATGTAATAAAATAGATGCATTTTGCAACCTTCACAATCCCTTTATGGATGAAACAAAACAACTTTGTACTTAAAACATGCAATTAAAATTGTAGAAAAATATGCACAGGATAAAATTACTTTGTCCTATCCATTTGCCAGCACAGTGAAAAAAAACCCCCAAAAACAACAACAAAAAAACACACACACACACAATTTAAAAATAAATTAAAGGCAATGAAACATAGAAACATAGAATGTGACGGCAGATAAGAACCATTCGGCCCATCTAGTCTGCCCAATTTTCTAAAAACTTTCATTAGTCCCTAGCCTTATCTTATAGTTAGGATAGCCTTATGCCTATCCCATGCATGCTTAAACTCCTTTACTGTGTTAACCTCTACCACTTCAGCTGGAAGGCTATTCCATGCATCCACTACCCTCTCAGTAAAGTAATACTTCCTGATATTATTTTTAAACCTTTGTCCCTCTAATTTAAGACTATGTCCTCTTGTTGTGGTAGTTTTTCTTCTTTTAAATATAGTCTCCTCCTTTACTGTGTTGATTCCCTTTATATATTTAAATGTTTCTATCATATCCCCCCTGTCTCGTCTTTCCTCCAAGCTATACATGTTAAGATCCTTTAACCTTTCCTGGTAAGTTTTATCCCGCAATCCATGAACCAGTTTAGTAGCCCTTCTCTGAACCCTCTCTAAGGTATCAATATCCTTCTGAAGATACGGTCTCCAGTACTGTGTACAATACTCCAAGTGAGGTCTCACCAGTGTTCTGTACAATGGCATGAGCACTTCCCTCTTTCTACTGCTAATGCCTCTCCCTATACAACCAAGCATTCTGCTAGCATTTCCTGCTGCTCTATTACATTGTCTGCCTACCTTTAAGTCATCAGAAATAATCACCCCTAAATCCCTTTCCTCATATGTTGAGGTTAGAACTCTATCAAATATTCTGTACTCTGCCCTTGGGTTTTTACGTCCAAGATGCATTATCTTGCACTTATCCACATTAAATGTCAGTTGCCACAATTCTGACCATTTTTCTAGTTTACCTAAATCATTTGTCATTTGGCTTATCCCTCCTGGAACATCAACCCTGTTACATATCTTAGTATCATCAGCAAAAAGACATACCTTACCATCAAGACCTTCTGCAATATCACTAATAAAAATATTAAAGAGAATGGGTCCAAGTACAGATCCCTGAGGTACCCCACTGGTGACAAGTCCAAGCTTCGAATATATTCCATTAACTACAACCCTCTGTTGCCTGTCACTCAGCCACTGCCTTACCCATTCAACAATATTTGAATCCAAACTTAAAGATTGCAGTTTATTGCTAAGCCTTCTATGTGCAACAGTGTCAAAAGCCTTACTGAAATCTAGGTAAGCAATGTCTACTGCACCACCCTGATCTATAATGCTTGATATAATGTGAACAGCATGTCTATATTACCATAATCTAGTAGCCTACCTGGTAAGATAATCAGCAATTTTGGGGTTCTTTATGAGGTCCATGAGGAGGTCAACAGAGTACATTCGGGTTAATGTCCCATCCCCATTTACAAGAATGTTAAATATTAACTGAAATGTCTGATGGATATTTCTGGAATGGAAAAGCTGGAAATAAATAGTGTGCATGAGTTATTCTTGTGTAAGAAAATACAGTGCATCAAATCAAACCTGCAATTACACAATTTCATTGCCCAGTCATTTTCTAAACAAGTATATTAATTTCTGCAATAATAAGCCTACCTCTTATTTTCATTTATATGAAGATAATATTTGAGGTTGCTACTTAAACCAGATTTTTTGTTTTTAGAACAGACTAGGGAATATCAGATCTCTATTCAAACAGCAGAGCTGGAAAAATACGCACTTAAAGGACCACTATAGTGCCAGGAAAACATACTCGTTTTCCTGGCACTATAGTGCCCTGAGGGTGCCCCCACCCTCAGGGACCCCCTCCCGCCCGGCTCTGGAAAGGGGTAAAAACTTACCTTTTTCCAGCACTGGGCGGAGAGCTCTCCTCCTTCTCTCCTCCTCCTCCTGGGCTGAATGCGCACGCGCGGCAAGAGCTGCGCGCGCATTCAGCCCGTCGCATAGGAAAGCATTTACAATGCTTTCCTATGGACGCTTGCGTGCTCTCACTGTGAAAATCACAGTGAGAAGCACGCAAGCGCCTCTAGTGGCTGTCCATGAGACAGCCACTAGAGGGAATAGGGGGAAGGCTTAACCCATTCATAAACATAGCAGTTTCTCTGAAACTGCTATGTTTATTAAAAAATGGGTTAACCCTAGCTGGACCAGGCACCCAGACCACTTCATTAAGCTGAAGTGGTCTGGGTGCCTAGAGTGGTCCTTTAAACATATTTCAAATCTGTCTGCTCTACCCTAAAATGTGTAATTCTCTATAATTATCAGTAGAGCGGATAACCCAAGTTACTTTCACCGACCTTCTTACATGTGTCCATGCATCTAACATCAGTACTCACAGGGCAATGAATTGACATGCAAAGCCAAATGTTAAGAAAAAGAAAATGATCTGAAACTACACAGTACAAGGAGAATTTCTTTTAAAGAATCAAGAACACCATTTTTGTGGAAAGTATGTGTTACCAGGACAAAATGAAGATCACTTCAACTCCTTAAGATTATGGGTGTAAGAGGTAGATATGCAGTAAATATGAAGAAGAGGAGAGGCTTGACCTTCCATGACAGCTGTCCACAGCCTCTACTCATGTAACTATCACTTTACAACAATTTAAACCAAGTTCAAGGTCAGAAGAAATAATCACACTGTTCAGCTATCATAGCTACTTTAACAGTCTTTATAGAATATCATTTCATTTTTATATGCATCAAACGTGGTTTGAAATGCCAAACAGAGGTAACCATAATCAGGGGGGCAGTGCAAAATGCTTAACGAACCATTCTCACATTGGTTAATCATTTAAGAAATATATTATTGTTTTTTTTATTTTTGTTACTTTGCAAAATAGATCTGTAAGGATTTAAATCATATCACAGTTTGCAGAAAATCATTAACATGTAACCCATCACATTTGACTCCTTATGCCCAAGCCTGATATCTATCCATTATTAGAATGCTGGACGCACTGCAAGTATTTCAAGTACCTCACTGCGAATCATTTATTAATGGCTTCTATTCCTAAAGATAGGCTAGGGGCCAGACTTAAAATTAACAGAAGTCCTCAAAAGGTCATGATGTTCCAGCCAACACATGGATTTGATTCGCTCAAGTAGTTTTATAAGTGTGTGGGTATGTTATACAAACATACATATACAGTCGTGGGAAAGAAAGGACACCCTCTTTAAAATGTCTGGTTTTACATATCAGGACATCTATTCCTTAATAGGTCTTAAAATTAGGTAAATACAAGATCAGATGAACAGTACACAACATATTACACCGGGTCATGAAGATTACACTGGACCAGTTACTCTGCTACAAGGGGCTTTAAGGGTTACAGCGTTAGGCACTTTTCTTGAAACACAGTTTTTTTTGTTGGCAAGTCATATCCAGTACGAATATTGGTGCCAAACCAACTTGCAATCAGTTGCGCAATCTGCTTACTCTAATGGTGGGACACAACACAATCTGTGCATGCATTCCACCTATGGCCCTTTTCAGCCCTGTGATGTGCATACTCCCCTTTCCCACAACCAATGGCACAATGGAAGAAAAAGAAGAGTCATTATGAATGTGTGCACTCAGCATATAAAATGCAGTTGGAAAAAAATATATACAATTTAGCTAACCAAGGTTCTGGCACCCATCCAGGGAATAGCAGAGATTGGCCATCATAACAGACAGACTTGCACAGCACTAAGAGCACCTACTGCACCCCCACTAATGCCAATATTGAAAACAAGTACAGGATAAAATATGGTCTAGCAAACTGTCCTTGGAAAAGAGACAGACTGAAATGTTATGGTTTGTGTCATACTCTATATACTAAGGGGGGTGGGGTGGGACACAGTCCTGGCAAATTACATTTGCAAGTGTTAGGTGAAAGTGATGTCTGTCCACATAGAGGGGAGGCATTTTTTTTATTTTATTTTTTGTATGACAACTTTTAAATCAGAATTAAAATAAATGCAACAGCAAAGGTAAAGGTAAGTCATATTGATTGTGGACCAGCAGCATGTATCAATGTATCACCAGCGATTTGACCATGTACCAATCGTTAATATGCCAATAAACATGCCGATGTAAATTAGCAGTAGATTGGTTTTAATACATGTGCTCTTTTATTACCACTTATAGAAATGACTTGAATGGATAATTATGGATAATTATCCTGATGCCAAAGCTGCAAAAATATTGAATTCTCCAACGCCAAATTAAGAACAAATTGTCAGTCTGGTTACTGAGGAGCTAGCTAGAATTCCTTTAGTCCACATCTGTTTACCAGGATAGAAGTCAGGTAATCTTGGTGGAGAACTGTGACTTTGTAGGAACGTTATACTTATCCCTTATGTTTAGCAAATGTATGTTTTTGAGATCAGAAGAAAAAAAAATTAAAAGATGAATGCAGAAGTCCACACTGCTATATTTACCTCTATCCTGGAATTGGGAGTGACAATCTTCGCTCAGTGCTCATCATTGTTATAAATGTTGTCCTTTACGGTCACAGAATATGTTAATAGACTAGGAGAAACTACAACAATGTGTCTCTTTCAGTATCTTATTTAATGGTGTCATTTCTTAAGAACAAACAGTTACACTTTATGGAATATTACATGGTATGCGTTCATTAGCAAAAGCATACGAATTAAGAATCTAAATCTTGTTAGAGGATTATCTCTCTCAAACAGAACTCTTTGAAACAACTAAACTCAAGTTTAGGTTGTAAGCTCTTTTGAGCAGGGCCCTAATCAAGCTATTGTTGCTGTAACATTTGTAATTGTCTCGATTATTAAATTCCCCCCTTTGTAATAGCACTGTGGAATAAATTGGTGCTATATAAATGCCAATAATAATGACAAGAAATTAAGGATAACACTAATGGGCATTCAAAATGTGTTTTTAGTTTAAAATTGGTTAACTATCCTATGCAACTGTATTTGTATGCAAGTTAGTCAAGTCTTACTAAATACATATTTCTGATTGTAGAAATAAAAGTAGTGTAAATTCTCTTTTCATACTGAGGATTTAGGGATAATAATTTATACTAGATCTTTTAAGATATACTAATGTCATTAATTATTATTATAACCATATATAGAAGAGTCTTACTCGAATATTGAAATATTTATAAAGTTACATGTGAAGGATTTCCAACAACCCGTTCAGGTTGTTTCCACTCCCTGCTATTTTATTCACTTAAATCATTTCGTTATTCGGTAAAATATTTGTTTTACCGAACGGAGACAACCCTGAACCTTGTGTAACTACACGAAATCCGCAAGTTAATCGAATGCTCCTAGGTGGCCGCCATTTCGTGCATACGAACGCGCGTGGTGAGAACAATGGACGGTGGCCATCTTAACTCCCGAATGCGGCCAGCGGGACTTGGTCGTCGAGTGCCTGGAACGGTTTTGGGCATGGCACTCACACAAACACCCGGTCTCTATGGAAGTCCCATACAAACTATTTCCACATACGGTAGAAGAACAGCGTTCGGGAGTTTCAAACAGACGAACGAGAGGAGCATTCTTCACGCATCATCTTTACTCTATCAATGGCGGTTTTCGTGTAAATCCACGCGAACGAAGACCGGCTCTTGCTGCCAATTCTGTGGAACTTTTGGTCGAATACAACCTCGTGGTGAGCCAGTCAAACTTCCACACGGTGCAGTTCGGAAAGTACAGAACGGATTTTCGTGAATTTTTTATATGTTACTCACATCATCCTCAGCTACCCAGGGATATGGTTTTTATGTGGTTTTGATATGCATAAAGTAGATTTCAAAAAATTTAGAAAATTGTTAACTTTTCTGGCCAGCAGATAATTGAGTTTAGTAGGTTTCTAAAACTCAATTATCTCGCTGGCTCAGAGGAGGAGTCTGGTGGTGTAAAATTGAATGCACTTGCTTCCATTAAACCAGTCATGTTCCAGCATTAAGCTTTGGCTCATGTGTGGATTATTATGGGATACCGGCGATATTTTACTCTGTGGATTATTGGCGATAGTACTTTATTGGGATAAGGAAATACTAGACTGTGATACCTATTCAGACCGTCACATTACAGATGCCAACTAATAGGGGACACTTTAGTCACCAGAAACAATACAACTTAATGTAGTGGTTCTAATGTATATAGCCTGTCCATGCTGGCTCTGCAGTGTTTTCATTGCTGCCTTGGAACATCTCTAGAGGCAGTCACTCAAGCGCCACTAGGGGTGCTTCCTAGCAGAGTGCTGCACAGTGGCACTGCATGTAAACACTGAACATTCCCCATAGAGAGGCACTGATCACTGATTCAAAGTCTCTCTTACAAGGCGGTGATTGGCGCAGCACAGAGTTTTGTTGTGCAATAGCTCTCTCAATGCTTTCCTATGGGAAAGCCATGGATTGGCTGAGATCATCACGATTCATGACCTTAGCCATGGAATCAAAGCCAACTGCGGTGAGACCAGAGCAGGAGAAAAGTAAATTCAGCTTTCTTATGCGATCTAAGGGCCAGGGACCTAAACAGCTAGTTTAACACTATAATATTAGGAAAATGTTTGTATTCCCGACACTATAGTGTTCCTTTAATGTGAAGCCAACAATGTGCACTCCAACTGCATTGTACACTGGTCACAAATAAAAAATAAAAAAACGGTAAGAATAATTAATATATCAACGGAAACAGTCTTAAAATTAATGAAAGCTTATGTTGCATTTGTAGTCAACAAAGAGGAAAAATGGTTAAAAGTCAATGAACAAGTTAGACACTATACAGGATACTTGCTAAATACTAAACAAACTAACAATTCATCACCTTACTGTGATCTAGTCTCAACAAGAACTGCAGTGTATCTAGCCATTAGGTAAAATGATTGCTTAACTATACTATAAAGAACAAAGAAAAATGAGGATGTTTTGCAGGCCTAATTAAGCCCAATGGAGTTAACCATGTTCCTTGATTTTCTATACTCAAAAATAAGTTCAAATACATACTTCTCAACAAATTCAGCAGTGGTTTTATAAACACCATGGCTGAAGTTACATTTCTTCTATGTGCACCTTATTCAATAGATTTAATCACTGAACAATGAACCTTTTAAATGTAAGTTCTTGAGTTTGGAATGTGAAATATGTATATATATCTCTTCAACTTCGTCCCTAATAACACACTAAAGAATGGTGCAATATCCCACCGCACAGAGCTCAGGACGTGCTTTACCCCTACTAAATGCAGTAATTAATGTTATTTTCCAAGAGATTGCATTAGACAGATACAAATATTAAGGTAGAAAAAGGAAATATCACCTTGTCACCAACTTCTTCATTTAGAGTAAGACTTGCCAGTACTGAAAGTGCAAAGACCACCACAGTTAAACTGCTATGAGCCAAGAAGCTAATTAATGTGCGGTAGAATCCTTTTACATTGCTCTGAGAAGGTAAAAGATAAAAACATTAGTAGAAAATTGATAAACAGCTCTCATATTATAGCACTATCAGTCACATGTTTTCAAAAATGGCAGTGAGCTTGTGTAATTATTCTATGCAATAGGTTTCTGTATTACTGCCACAATTCTATGTCCCCACAGGTTCAACCTGGAACCAAATTGTCAGTTATTGAACTAGGAGTGCTATCAAGGCATACATACTCATCCTCCTTTAACTAATATTCCTAATTCCTCTTAGTCATTGAGAAAACAGGAAGCAGAGTTCTAATGCTATCAAATATATTTATGTTCCTCGGTTTACCTTAAATAACTCTGAAAATTCCCTACACCATCCTGCCACCCCCCTTTTTTTTTAGCTTTATTAGTGTTCCTCACATTCCAGTCTTACTACATTTTGTGCATTTTCTTCTTAAGCTTTTCTTATCATCTGTGTTCAATAATTAATTTAGTAGCCACAATATATGCAGATTTATTATATGGGCTTTATGATTAATTTCAGGGAATAGACTTACAAAGCATTTGCAGGAAGAAATATTATTTAGAATTCTGAAGAAAGAAAAATGAATCAAAGTATTAACGGGGAGACTTCTTTTTTTTTACATTTTTTTATTTTTTATAAAATTGAGTGGAAGAAAAATAAATATCCAGGCACACTGGAGGTTTCTTCTAAAAGGCAGTCTTTTTTATTTGCAACAAGGAAGTGGCAACAACATTTCAACTCCTCTCTGTGCCTTTATATGTCTTGAGAAAGGCTCAGAGAGGAGCTGAAAGGTTGTCGCCACGTATTTAAAAAAAAAAAAAAAAAAAGACAGCCTTTTTGTATTTAACAGATACAAATGGCAAAATATAAAACAATCCTGACAGTTCCCTTTTAAATTACATAACTTTCATTAATAAAATATTGATGGCCTTGTAAAATATGAAAAGTGAAACTTGAGTGTGTGTGTGCTTGGTGCGAAAAGAACATAAAAAAAATCACCTTCTATATCAGTGTTTCAGAGTTAAGCCTGAACCAACAATTGGGTATTTGATTATTTATAAATTGCAGATTAGTATAATGCAACAGTAATCAAAAATTGTAGAATTAAATCAAAATCAGAAGCAGAATGTAGATACTGCAAATCACCTAAATAATTTCTTACCAAAGATTTCACATGACCTTGGACTGAAAGATTATGGCGGCAAAGGTTTGCCATAATTCCAAGGCATGGCATTGTAAGTTCATCTTCTGTAGATTGACTGAAATAGAAGATAATAAATAAAAAAATAAGTGCACTACAATATTAAATACCAGCTATGAGTAAAATACAAAATTAATGATTACATTTAAATATCTAAGTAGTGTTAATTTACAGGTATGCACACAATAAACATAAGTAAATAATATATATATAAGAAACCCCCTAAATAATATCTAGAAGCAAGTGGTGGAAAAGTAGTATATTTTGTAATCTGCAAGCAGGGAGAAAGCTATGTCTGCCTCCTAGTGGCTCAATACTGAAGTTGGATTCAAGGACCTCAGAAATATATCTTTGATTTAAAAAAAAAAAAAAAAAATAAAGTTCAGTTCAGATACAACAACATGGATTTCTTCATCTCCAGTGCATAATCATTACAAGAAACCAAGGACAAACTTTGTTCAGAATTTATATCTCCAAGACTGACTTTTATGGAGCACTATACAACTACATTAGATACGGAATCCACTAGTTGCCTACATTATACAAGAACACCCATCATCAACAAATAATTTGTCTATCACTCACCAACATAGAATCAGTTTCAAAAAGAGTATTTATTAGTCACACATACAGCAACCACAGAAACCACAATTAACACGTTCGATGAGTCTGTTAAATCATATAAGGTGTCACAAAAGAGTGAAAAGATGGATAGGATAGGTTTAACAGTATAATGGGGTAAACAAACTTCCTATAGTAAGGACTACAATAGTAGCAACTTGAGGATCAGGCATAAAAAAAAGTTTAACAATGTAATGATTTATAAAAAAATAATAATAAAAAAAATATGACAAACTCGTTTTCCTGGCACTATAGAGTCATTAGATCCACCCCACCCCCAACCTCATGGGCCCCTCCCGCTGGGCTGAAGAGGTTAAAACCCCTTCAGCCACTTACCTTAATCCAGCGCAAGGCTCCCTTGGCACTGGTGACCTCTCCTCCCCTGCCGATGTCAGTTCGATTGGAGATTAATGTGCATGCGCGGCCAGAGTGAGTGCGCATTCAAACCGCCCATAAGAAAGCATTACTATGGGGATCTGAACTCTCACTGCGTGAGTTCAATGCGATTTTCACACGGAGAATAGGGGAAGTGCCTCTAGCGGCTGTCAGGGAGACAGCCACTAGAGGCTGGATTAACCCTCAGTGAAACAGTTTCTCTGAAGTGGTCTGGGTGCCTATAGTGGTCCTTTAATGAAATCCCACCGGCTAAATCCCCTAAAGAAGTAATTAGATGTATTTGGGAAATTCGATGCAGAATGGTATTCAATCAAAAAGATTTTGGAGAGGTTCTGGCCATTACTTGGTCAAGATAAACACCTTCATCAATTACTACATCTGAGATGGCGATTACAGCAAGACGGGGACATAACCTCAAAGATATGCTGGTACCTAACCACCTGAAAGCACCATCCTCAAGAGCTTAATGACTGAAATCCCCCACTGTTGGAATGTACCAGTGTGGGAGATGTAAAGCCTGTAAATACATCCTCATACACTCCAAAAGCTGCTCAGATTCCAATAGCAATACAACATTCACAACAAAATAATTGTTTTAACTGCCAAACTGCAGGAGTGGTATATCTACTAACCTGCAGCTGTCAGTTGAAATATATAGGAAAAACAAGATGACCCTTTAAGAAACGGATGCTTGACCACGTTAAACCCGCTCGACACATTGAGACCCCAATTTCAAAACATTTCAAAATTTGCCATGGGGGCTCGGCTGAGGGGATACGATTTTGTGGAATTGGGAGTTAATCTGGGACCCAGGAAAGGACACCTGGACAAGAAGCTACTCTAAAGAGAAAGCGATGGGATATACAAGATGAGAACTCTGTCACCATCAGGCCTTAGTGAGGGCTTTTCGTATACCTAATTTGTCACAGAATAAATCGTAGCATTACCTTTATCTAATATAACACTATTTTAGATCCCCATGCTCTTCATTTTCAGTATAGGGCTACTGTTACTTTGTAAATATGTATAAACATTTAGCAATGTTTTTTGTTTATTTTTCAATTATTTATCATTTTCAGCATTTGTTTTTTATAACCTTTATAAACTTCATTAAGCCCTTGATAACTTATAATATTAATACCTAGGTGCCACTGATCATAGATATGGTCTATAATATCTCCTGTATGTTGGACCTTTAAAATGAATTATTCACTATATTTGATATCAAATCTGGATTTTAATCATGATTGGTAACTGTTCATTACTGATATTGATACATGCATGATGGTCACCACCAACTGTTTGATACGTGCCCTTTACTCTGACTAGATCTTATATAACCAGTGATTTCCACCCCATAATACCTTTTACACAATGAGGCTAGTAATGACACACTTGAGGTGATATTCACTTATTCCTTAATTTTGTGTTGATACCTTAATGACTTTGGAGCCTGGTTACGATTTAATGTCTGAAGACATACGCGTATACTCTTTATATTCTAAGTCTTCAACACGATCGGACTTATAAATTATCTTGTGTGTTGTGGCGAAAGCCGCCTCGCCACTGGACATTGGAGAGGCCTGGCTGCCTGCCTCCTACCTGCTGACTATGGCCCCTGGTGAATTTGTACTTTGGAATACAAAATTTGGGCATGTGGTATTTTATATTGCTGCTACTGGCCCTTTAAGGGCCATCCGTGGACATATGACTTTTTAGGAACAATATCCCTTTAAGACTTTGTAGCAGATTACAGTAAGGATGTCTTTTATATTATGTATGTTTCTGTGTGTTCGGCTAGATTGTATAGGTATATGCAGCATTCCCCTGATTGTTCGGTAGAATCACTCCATTCATTATATTGAGTGAAACTACCGAACAACCAGACCACCCAGGAATAAGTGTGCCTCCAGTTACCGTTTGCAACATTGTATCGATGTAATGTGTTCTTTGTCCTCTGGGTGGCCGCCATTCGGGAAACGAACACGTGGCGGCGGCCATCTTAAACTCCCGAACAGCGGTGTTTTGCCGTCGAGTGTCTGGAACTAAAATCGGACACTCGACTAGGCAAACACCGCTGAGACCTCCAGACTTCCATGAATTTGTGTGGAAACTACTGAACGGCCCGCCGTTCGGTAGAAAGGATCACACAAACAAGGGGATTCATACGAATCCTCCCCAAGCTCTATAACCCAAATCCCTCCCTTGCCTGGGAGAATCCTTTATAAGCCTGTTGTGTGAATAAATCAGGAGATTCTGCTTAACCCTCAAAACGAAGTGTCGTCTCGTTATTGGGGGAATTGGATTGTATGCTGACTGCCAGGAGTGTAACCCTGTCGTATGGTTTTCCTGTTCGGATATTTCCAGTGTTCATGTGTTTCCAGTTCGGGAGATCGGTGCTTACAGTAGCTGTCGGTGTAGCTGAGAAAGGGGAAATTTCGCCTAAATGGTTTTTAACCTCTGGTGAGCACAACGGTCCGTTACATGTGTATATCTAGTGATGTATATTAGTATATCGCACTGTTTAGTTTTTATACATACAGAGGACCTTTCATTGTGAGTGTGTCTCGGGTTAACACCATGAGACCTATTATGTACGTATAGATACTTTATCAGACTGATTCTCTATCGGACTGAATGCCTATGAGTTACTGTGATTTTTATTGATACCTTAAGGAGATCGATGAGAGATGTTAAATTTTTTACTTATTCACAGGAATATCCATTCATAAACCCATTCACACACTCCTCCCCTGTATGCTGATTGGCTATTTTGTCACGGGCAGGTGTTAACCAGTATGATGACATAATACGACTAGTATCCAGGCCCACTGATGAAGTTCACTCCTTTGTTCTTATTCCCACGGGGCTTAGTTGCCTAGAAAGGAGATCAGGCTCATTGTAGCTGAGCACCGAAACGCGCGACGGGTTATTTTCTGTTTTTATGGGCACTTCACTTTTTGTTTGCCACATTTGGTGACATCTTTTTGATTTATGTGTTTTGATTTCATAATGATTTAATAATTTTTCTGGCTATCTAGCGAGTTTCTACAGGGAGAGAGGCTTACTCTTACTATGATCTGTCTTCCTATCTCTTTAAACTCCATGGATACTTGATTTATAAATACCTTTGCAGGGTTATAAGAGATTATTATTTTTTATATATTCCCTATATAGAACACGTTTTGAATGTTATATCATACCTACTGGTTATTTATGCGCCATAAGTGAGGGCATTAGATCGATAGGGGGTTGACTATTGTAAGCATATTGGCCAGATGATTAAAGCATTTCCTTTTCTCACTTTAGTCTACGCATAGCTTTGCTTCTGGCTGTTACCAATTATAGGTTTTAGGTACAGAGGAAGCCTTTACAATAAGGATCAACTAATATTGATTTTTTTTTAGAGCCGATACCGATAATCTGTGAACTTTCAGGCCGATAACTTGCCGATATTCTGTACATTTATCATTTTGAAAAAATAAACTATTTCTAAAAATGCATAAAATATACATGCCACATGTAGTGGATGCAGTGTGTTTAGACAAGAGAGCTGTGTGGGTTTGTGTAGTGTGTTTATAATGGATGCAATCTGTATATAATGAAGGCAGAGTGTGTTTGTGTAGTGTATATAATGAATGCAGAGTGTGTGTATGTGTAGTGTGCGTAAAGTGAATGGAGTGTGTGCGTAAAGTGAAAGCAGTGTGTGTATAGTGAATGCACTCTGTATTTGTGTAGTGTGTATTCATTATATACACACTACACACTCTGCCTTCATTATATACACACACTACACAAACACACTCTGCCTTCATTATATACACACTACACAAATACAGACTGCATTCACTATACACACACACACACACACTGCACTCATTATATACACACACTACACAAAGTGTGTGTTTGTGTATTGTGCGTAAAGTGAATGCAGTGTGTAATGAATGCAGTGTATGTAGTGTGTGTGTGCAGTGTGTGTATAGTGAGTGCAGTGTGTGTATAGTGAATGCAGTATGTATATACTGAATGCAGTGAGTGCGTATAGTGAATGCAGTGAGTGTGGAGGGGAGGCATTTTTTATTTTAAAAAAAATGTTTTCCTATTTTTTTTTTTTTAGTCCCCCTCCCTGCTTCTTACTTTGCCAGGGAGGTGGGATATAGCATTCCCTGGTGATCCGGTGGCATGGACTCTGCAGTGAGGGCCCGCAGCAAGCTCTTACTTACCTTTCCAGCAGCTCCTTAAAGCTCCCCTGTCTAAATCTCGTGGCCTGCGTGCCGCGCGGAGCGTTGCCATGGTAGACCGGTGAGCTGAAGGGAGCTGCTGGGAAGATAAGAGCTTGCTGCGGACCCTCCAGGACCGCCGGGCTTGTAATGGGCCCGGCAGTCCTGGTATGTATTATTGGCAATATCGGTAACTCTATAGGCAGATACCGATATTGACGAAAATACAGAATATCGGCCGATAATATCGGTCAGATCGATAATCAGTCTTTCCCTACTTTACAAGGCTTGTACCTTTTTTTTTTTTAATCATTTATTTTTTTAAAGATTTTTCATTTTTGATGCCCAATCCTCAAGTTGCTACTATTTTAGTTCTAACTATAGGAAATTTGTTTACCACATTATACTGTTAGACATATCCAGGGGGCATCTTTCACTCTTTTGTGACATGGTACCATTTGTTCGTCACAAATAATTTTAACAGTCAAAATTTACTGTATAAACATTTGCTGCAAGCCCAACAACATGAACATTTAATGTATACTGTTATTTTTTCATGCTTTGTTGCTATGTAAGAGTAATGAAAATATTGACATTTTCCTTATGTGGGTAACTTACATATGGCTCATCAGAAATGCAATTAATTCCTCGATATTGATACTTGCATGTAAAACTTTAACATTATATGTCAATCTTTGAAGCAGTTGAATACTCTGAAATAAACAAAAATGCAAAATTGTTACTTCTGTAGCTGCTTTTAACACAAACAAAAATAAATCCCTTAATTTAACCCCTTAAGGACTGAGCTAAATGTAGACGTTGTGAACAAAACTAAACGTAAACAAAACCTGGCATTTGCGCTACATGCCTGTCCAACTGTAACTCACCTCATTTAAATGCACCCAACCCTTATTATATATCATTTTATTCAGGAGAAACAGGGCATTCATTTAATATCAAATATTTAGCTATGAAACAATTTAATATGAAAAATGGGAGAATTTTTATTTTTATTTTTTTAGTTCTACATGACATTTTAACTGTGAATGTCATAATACAGTTTGCTTTTACCGCAATAAAATACACATTGGTATTCAGCAAAGTCTCACGTGTAAAACAGTACACCCTATGTACAGGTTTTATGGTGTTTTGGGAAGTTACAGGGTCAAATATAGCAAGTTACATTTGAAATTGAAATTCGCCAGATTGGTTACGTTTCCTTTGAGACTGTATAGTAGCACAGGAATGAAATTTACAGCCATAATGGCATACTATTTGCAATAGCAGATAACCCAAGTTATTGCAAATGGGGTATGTTCAGTCGTTTTTAGTAGCCATTTGGTAACAAACACTGGCCAAAGTTAGCGTTAGTATTTGTTTGTATGTAAAAAATGCAAAAAAACGCCAATTTTGGCCAGTGTTTGTGACTAAGTGGCTACTAAAAAAGACTGGACATACCCCATTTGCAATACCTTGGGTTGTCTACTATTGCAAATGGTATGCCATCATAGGGGTAATTTTCATTCTTGGGCTACCATAGGGTCTCAAAAGCGAAGGCGAATTTTAATGAGAAAAAAAAAAATGAAACGCAAGCCTTATATTTGACACTGTAACTTTTGAAAACACCATAAAACCTGTACATGAGGGGTACTGTTGTACTCGGGAGACTTCGCTGAACACAAATATTTGCGTTTCAAAACAGTAAAAAGTATCACAGCAATAATATCGTGTAAGTGCTGTTTGTGTGTGAAAAATGCAAAAAATTTAACTTTTACTGGTGATATCATCATTGTAATACATTTTACTGTTTTGAAACACTAATATTTGTGTTCAGTACCCCCCATGTACAGGTTTTATGGTGTTTTGGAAAGTTATAGGGTTAAATATAGTGCTAGCAAATTAAATTCCCTATACTTTCAGCATGGGTTGTCAGGGACGTCCAGCTAATTGTAATTAAAATACCGAATTATGTAAAATTATTACATAAATATATATGTAGAATTAATATTTTTATTTATTAATAGTAAATAACTTATATTGACTATATATAAGAAAAGACTCACTCACCCCCACCTCGATCACCTGTACGCCGGCACACAGGTGATCGAGGTTGGGGTGAGTAAGTCTTTTCATTATATATATATATATATATATATATATATATATATATATATATATATATATATATATATATATATATATATATATATATATATATATATCTCAATATAAGTTTTTTTTATGTCCTGAAGAAAGGACAATTGGAACTGAAACGTTGACTGACTGTTGGAATAAAACCTGTGAAGTTTTTTTACTTACAAGACCTAGAGTGCTGGCTTTTTTTCATACACACACACACTAATAAATATATATATATATATATATACACACACACACACACACACACACACACACACACATATATACACACATACATATATACACACATACATAAATACACATGCACACACACATACATAAATACACATGCACACACACACACATACACAAATACACATGCACACATATATATATATATATATATATATATACACACGCACATATACATATCAATACACACACACATAGAATACTGATTTAGCATACTTTTTTTTTTATTTTATTTTTTTTTTTAAATACACCTTTGTCCCACCCCTCTCACACTCACACCACCCCTCACACACACACACCACCCCTCTCACACACACACCACCCCTCACACACACACACACCACCCCTCACACACACACACACCACCCCTCACACACACACACACCACCCCTCACACACACAGTCTGTGTGTGTGTGTGTGTGTATGTATGTACTCAGCAGTCAGTGTCTATTCATCAGTCTCTGTATTCAGCAGTCTTGTGTGTATTCAGCAGACTGTGTGTGTATGTATTCAGCAGTCAGTGTGTGTATGTATTGCATTTGTTGGGGATACTAATAAATATAAGCTTCATTTGATCTATTTATATCATTTAAAATTTGTATCATTGAACTCTCAGTTGTTAATTAGTTCGGACAACAGTACGAGTTGTTTTTTCTAAACTTAAACCTCAGTATTGAGGTTTAATTGCCGTATTGGCACTTCAAGGAAAAAAAGTTGGCATTATTATTATTAATTATTCAAATTTTTACTCACTAAAATACATTATCTTACTATACCTGCAACAAAACAGGATCATTAAGTATGGAGCTATAGTGATGAACAACACCAGCCACAACATTAGTAAGATTATATGTTGAATGAAGTGCTTCCTTTGTCTCAATGTCCAGGGCTAAAATAAAAAAAATAAAAAGGCATAAGCAAAAGGTTAAATATAAGCAAAACTGATGAAACTGAACACAGCTTTTAAATCGACCTAAAGCACTTGGGCTAAATGCCTTCACTTGCCTCACTGAAAGATGACAACATTAGTGATCCATCATTTGTGCTTTGCGAAGACTTACAGATAGAAAATCTAATTAAGGCTCCAATTAGTTATTTTTAAAAATATTAATATTAAATATATATTTAACATTTTTTAAAATATTAAATAATTTTAATAGTTTATTAAAAAATAATAAATTGAGGCCTAAATCACAGATGATAAGAGACAGACTATAACATCAGAAGTTAGATTGTGAGTTTGTTTGGCTATCTTCACCTATTATTCCCATAAGTGTTACGTTTTGATAAAATTAAATATTTGTCATTTTCTATTGTTAGCGCTATATAAATAATGTCTTGTTTAAAGCCCTTTCTTTTCCACAAGCCACTGGTCTACTTTATATTTGTAAATGCTCTTAATGCTGGTTAGTTTATAGGATTTTAAACTGTTGGAACATTAAGAATTTAAATTTCCATTCAAAATGTGTTTTATTAATATTGGTATTTATAGAGCGCCAACTAATTCTGCAGCACTTTTCATAATATTGTAAGGGGGGGAAATTTACAATAAATGAGACAATTAAACAGTGACACAGGAACAATAGGTAGATGAGGGCCCTGCTCAAACAAGCTTACAGTCTAGAGGAGGTGGGGTACAAATACACAACAGGGCAGCAAGGGTGACAGCCACCAAACAAGGTGGAAAAGTAGCAGAACAGGAGGTGAGAGTGAAGTGTGGCTCTTTAGGACGCAAAAGAAAGACATGGATAGGTATAGATAAGTTACTCTGGGAGTCCATAAGCATTTCTGAACATATGTGTTTTGAGGGACTATTTAAACAATTGAAGACTAGGGGAGAGTCTGATGGGGGTAGGCAGGCTGTTCCAAAGGAAGGGGTATACCCGTGAAGTCCTGCAAGAGCGAGTTAGCAGTAAGGGTATGAGCAGCGGACAGCAGAAGGTCAACGGAAGAGCAGAGAGACCGAGAAGAGGCATCTCTATGAATCAGTGAAGAAATGTGTTGGTTAGAGCTTTATAGGTAAGGGTTAGTATTCTGAATTGACACCTACAGGATACAGGAAGCCAGTGTAAGGATCGACAGAGGGGCGAGGTATGGGAGGAGCGACAGGTGAGAAAGATTAGCCTGGCGGCTGCATTCAATACTAATTTTAACAAAGCTGTTCGGCTTTTGGGGAGACCAACTAGGAGAGAATTACATGCAAGAGATTACCAGTGCATGAACAAGCTCCTTGGCAACATCTTGCGTGAGAAAGGGGCGGATGCGGGCGATATTTTTAAGGTGGAATCGACAGGTTTTAGCAAAATTCTGAATATAAGGATCAAGTCTGTCAAGGTGCAGGACTTCCTCCAGCAGCGTTCAGCTGAAGAGTGCATGTTTGGAGCGGTGCCTCAGAGGAGAGGGTAGCATTATAATAGGAGATAGCCAGAGACGGACAGGAGAAGGTAGGGATAGATGAGAGTTTGGAATGGAGATTAGCTGAGAGTTGCTGGAGATCAAGATAATTCAGATCCCTTCTGAGTTGAGGGTGGTTCAAGTGAGGGATCTCTCTAAAACAAATGATAATAGGCTGTGATATGAGAGAGGAAAAGGAGTGTTATGGAGTTTAAAGATAGTGCATACATTAGAAAAAAATAAGATCGAGGGTATTGCCAGCTACATGTGTGGGTGTATTTACCCACTGTGATAGGCCAAGAGAGGAGGTAATAGAGATTAGTTTGGAAGCTACTGAGGTCAAGGGTGGGTTAATGGGAATGTTGAAATCCCCAAGAATTAGGGAAGGGATATATATTACTTGAAAGGGAAGCCAAGCAGAAAAATGGTCAAGGAATAGACAAGGGGAACAATAGATAACAGCTATGTTATCAGAGGGAGAGAGACATGTTTCTGTTAGTGCAAATAGGTTTAGAGAGTGAGAGATAAATAGGTCATGGATGGAAGTTGATTTAATGGTGCTGAAAACCGAGCGTGCATTCCAGAGGGCAGCTTTAAAGGATGAATTATAGTGAGTTACATGGAATGGATATGAGATAGTTGTTGTTTCTGTTAGTACAAGATGTGTTAGTGGAGGTGGGACCAAGGTTTGGAGAGACAAAGCCAGCTGCCAGGAGCAGTAGGATGGAAAGGAAGAGAAGGTGGGAGTAAGATGTAAAATGTTTGGGGTGAGAGCTTGCAATTTAGAGGATTTAGGAGTTTGTGGAGAAAGGCTGGGTAGGCATGAGTAAAGTGCATGTGATGAATACAGACATGAGGGAAGTAGAGAGGGAGCAATGAAGATGTGTCAGCAGTAACAGGTAAGTAGAAGGATAGAGAGATTTTAATAATAAGAGAAGTGATGGAGAAAGTGAAAAATAGAAGGGAGAATGTTATTAGGAGAATAGGTGCTGTGTTTTTAAGATATGGAAAATTGAGCTGTTAAAATCAGAGGTGAGGTTAGATAGATGAAGGGTTAAAGGGTTTTAAAAGTGCAGGTTTGAAACAGACAATGCTTTTTTTTAAATTATATTTTTCCCTTTACCGTACTGTGGGAATTAAATTATCGTAATCGATTTATAATAGATAGAGAAAAAGAGGACTTATAAATATGACTTAACTAAGCCTTGAAAGGAAATGTTTTTACAGAAATTATGTTCACATGTTAAACTTACCTAAACTAGAGAGCATGTTAATAGTCTTCAATGTTATGGAAGGACTGGTATTTGGATCTTCAATAAGTTCCACTAGACTGCTCAGACATTCACTTGGTAGTATTTGGTTTGATGCAAACAATTTGTTTAGTTTCAATCCAGTGATAACCTAGAAGTCATAAACAGATTATTGTAAATCCATGACAATATTACATACATTTTCTTCAACCGGTGTGATGAGAAGAAGAGTGTTTCTTTTCACATTCAGATATTTTTTTTGGGTGTATATGACTGATGAGTGTATTCTCCACTTTTGGCCGAGCAACCTTGCAGATGGCAAGAATCTGGCACAAAATAAGTTCAGAGTTCAATACTGTCAGGTTTTGCATTAAAATAGTTATTATATGCACTTAAATACGTGCTGGATGATTCTTTATTATCGGCTACATGAAACTAGTTTACAAGCACCGTGCTATCAAGAAAGTGATACCCTCATTAAAGTCCTGAATTAATCTGGCATAGTCTGTATATTCTGTTATTCATATAAATATATATGCTTAAAAAAAAAAAAAAATAAAAAAAAAAAATCTACCTACGTAGAATACTACTATAGAATTCTTAACATGGGAAAAAAATGCAATGGAATATATCCACATATGAAAAAGATGACCAATTGCTGTGGCTGTTGTATTCTATGTATTAAAAAGTTATCACCAGTCATCATAAAAACTACAGCCTCAAGTACCAATAGTATCTAATGAGAAAATACTTTAATGGGTAAAACAGGAAAATAAAGAAACAGATGGGAACTGCGCTGGGAAGCAAGTGTAAAAATTGTTATGCGAATTACAACCACAATCCCCTCTCCTAGTTTAATGGCATCAAAAAGCAGCCAAATAGCAGCCTATAATAGATTCCAATGGTGGCTGGTAAATCCAAAATAAACAGGATTAGTATAGGGAAGGTTCACTAAATAGTGCTCTGGTTGCTAGACATAACAATAGAAACAAGAGGCAGGAAATGAACAAGGCAACAAGGCTTTAGCCAAGACAGAGGGGTGATGGTGGGAAAAATTGCCCAGGATAATCTAAATGCTTCAGACAAGGTGAGTATATGCTCACTAATATCTATTGAAGCAGCATTTAGAAGTGTCCATGTCCCCTTAATATAGCTACTTTCAGATATCTCATAGAGGTAGAAATGAGATGAAGGGACAAGTATTAATGCAGAGCAAATTGTTATCAACAAAATTAATAATAAAAGTACCCGAGCTGCTAGTCCCTGAGTCCCCTATGCAAACACCTTGGAGGGTGTTCTATGCTAGTATCTCATATCTATATATGCCATCTCAATTGCTTCCAAAAGAACCCCAAAAAGAAAGAAATCTAAGAATAATGGGTGCTAAACATCCAGTGAGTGCATAAGTGCTATAAGTGCTCCATAAAGTGAGGACTAAAAACGGACGGTCTGGCAGAACGCCGGCAAAACTACCGAATTTCGTCCTAACAGAATGAGAACAGTTTCTCCATTCGTGTTAGGAAGCAATTCGGGAGTCTGTTCGGAATTTCATTAGAATGAATGAAACTTCGATTCTATTCGTGCCGCGGCTGATTCGTCCAGCACACAGGACACAGGAGAGTATTTTGGATGCAGAGACGCTGCTTCATTTTATCATGACTGAGGGATTGACTTACTCAAGAGGGTACGTTATTCTGTTTTACTGATATTGCAAGTATATACTTTAATTTCGTGAACTCAGCTATGAATGTTTAACTTTTAATATGTCTATATTTGTATTTAATAAAATTTTTTTTAAAAAGACAAAAAACCTTTATTGCTTCCAAGGCAATCCCTATTTTTATTGTATTCAATTATTTAAATATATTTTAAATAGAGGAACTCTTACGAACTATATAATATTATGGCCAAGATATTTGTATGGTTAGCCCTGCTAAATTCTATGCTTTAATATGTTGTAGTGGTAAACAGGGAAACCAGCTGCGGTCACAAGAGTGAAACACTGTACATACAGACTCCAAGCAATATGACCACTTCAAGTCACTCAAGTGGTCATGGTGCTTGGAGTAACCTTTAAGAATATTTCTTTAAAAAAAAATAATAAAAAAAAAAATTTATATATATATATATATATATATATATATATATATATATATATATATATATATATATATATATATATATATATATATATATATATATAAAAAAACTTTTTTTAAAAATTTATATATAAATATATATAAATGATATATATATATATATATATATATATATATAAAAAAAATATGCCATGTGGCATTTACAAGTACAGGTGTTTGTTGTATCTTTTAATTAGTTACATGTAGCTAAGATACTGTCATCAATGTACTGAGCATGTGCATCAACTGTAGTCACATTCCTTTGTCCTTAAAAGGAGTCATACGGTCTGCCCATACTAGGTGAACCTGAATATCCTGTTCACTGATTGTCTAAGGGTATGTGTGGGTGGAGCTATGAATGGGAGGAGTTATTGTTAATAAATAGCCTGTGCAAACTATGCTCTGGGCTCATACCTTTTGAACACAAGTTCAGTGTGAGACCCGATCAGTGTGTAAATAAAAGACCTGTTACTTCCTAAAAAGACTTATGTCCATATCTCTATGTGTGGCTTCTGCGGTTTGTTCCTGTTATTCCTCCGGTAACATTTTTGGTGCATTGGGTCCGGGAACCTCATCGCACGGAAGCTGGCGCAGAGATTTGAGACGGTAAGCTTTTTACCAACGTTCTCCACAGCTGCACCCCTGGACTTCTACTGCGTGGACCTCCCTTTTTCTCGGCGCCACTGGCCTGTTGTCCAGGAGATCATCGGCTTCGACGCAGTGAGTACCGAGGTGTCCCGTCGATGAGTGTGAACCCAGGTCCAGGAACTAAGAGGTAAGACTGATACCGTTAGAGTGGTATGCCCACAAGGGGTTTTATATTTGGAACAGGTTATTGGACTCCCCTTCCCTCTGGAGGGAAGAAGCAAAGGTGCACCGCTTTTCTGGAAATTAGACGCTCTGTAGTCAGCCAGCCTAATATAGGTGTTTTGGATCAGGCTAAATCCTGGGGTAAATAGTTTATGCCGGACACCGGTGTCCTGTCTTGACTAGCGTGTCTAGGTGTAAATTTCGGTCGCTAGGTCGGGGAGACCGGCGAGACTAAGCAGATTCTGGTGTACATTTAGTCTGCTAGCTCTCAACCTATCTTGGCTAAATGTGCCCTGTTGTAAATTCAGCCACTAGACTATTGATAGAGTAAATAGACTAAATGGGTACTGTTGTAAATTCCGCCCACTAGTTCGCTGTATGTGGTGCTTGGGCAACGTAAACTAACCGAATCCTGGTGTAAATAGTTCGATAGTTCTCGAGGTACTGGCCAATTAGAGTAGTTAGGTTTGTTGTAAATGTTGTTAAATAAGTTGTAACTGGTGAATTGTATGTCCTGCTAGAAAGCTTGAGCTCTGCCGTTTAGCGGACGTGTAAATTGTGTGTATAGTGTAAAATAGCGCAGGTACCATAACCACTGACATGTACCATAACTACTGATATTACGTGAAAAAAAATACTAAAATTAATGTTTAACCTTGCATGTGTACTAACTGATATTGTAACTGTAAAATCATAATTGTCTAAACTGTACAATAGTTACTAACCGTACCATAACCACTGACTGTAGAGACGAAATTGTTGAAATGTTATGTGATCAGTTAGTTTATGTGGATTAATAGTGTGGATAATTGTATGGTTTGAATAATAGTTACATTGATAAGTGTATAGTCTTTGGTGGGTTTTTGATTTAATTTCGTGTGTGCGACGTCGTGATATTGTTGCGCGTGTCAGGATCCTGTGCGTGTGTGTACGTTTGGGCCTAGTAACCGTGCCGCGTGGTGCTGCTGCTAAGGTAACTGGTGTGACTGTTGAAACGGTTTGTATATTTGTACTGCTTTGAATCAGACGCTCTGCTGAAATCATGGGTGCTTCTGATTCACAAACGGTCCTTTGTCTTATATGTTTTAAAAAAAACAAACAAACACTTTTCTAAAGAATATGCTGTTTGTGATTATGGTGTAACACTGCCCCCCAAAAGATTAAGATACTCTGTGTAGCAGAGGACGGCCTGTTCTGGCAACCAGTGACCCTGTGGATCCTTGATCCAGATTTAATACAGCAGGTTTACATTGTTATAAATAATATGCTGGGGCTATACAAGTAGTTTCTGCATACAGATTGTTGAAACACTGCTCAATGGATCAAGCTGTGTTAAGAGGAACAATGGAGTCCATGGTAGCCAGAACCTGTTTGTCCACTAAGGCCTTAATTCCACCTAGTTTGGACACCCCCCTTGCATCTGATTCCCAACCCCCTACTCTTCCTCCCATGCTAAAACTGGTGTCGCTTGTATTTGTACTCCCCCTGCTATATTGTCCTCGCCTACCCACATACCTGTCTCACATAATTAAAGTCTATCTGCTTCATTAGACTTTAGGAAGCACTCTAGGGTCACTTACTGGCTATTTTCGGGAGTTACATTGTTTAAAATATTAATGACCGTTTAATCATCCTTAACTCTATAATGGCATACAACAGACAGAAGTAGGACTGCTTACCCTATTTTAATATTTCTTGTCGTAAGGTTTTATTTTAGGTATAAATATATTAAAAGCCAAGTTTTTTTGTTAGACCCATAAAGACTATTTTGATACAATTACTTACCCTCTTGTGACACCTACTGGCAGGTTTTTGGTTTAAACACATTTTTATTTTTCAATCACCTAATGCTGACCAGTAAAATTAATTCACCCCCTTTCACCTACCTTACTACTCCCAGATCGGAACCTGTTACTAAACAACCCTATCGAAGTCCCATACTAACTCGACAAATGACTGGTACCCTTTAATCCCGACATTTACAAATGCCTCTCCGGCTTACCCCTGGTCCACCACATATTGCCCGAATGATTAACTCAGCATTTGTCAGCCAGGCCCAGAACAATATCAAGAGAAAATTACAAAAGTTAGAGAGATTTGCAGGGATGTCCATATCACAGTTAATGGAGGTTGCAAATAAAGTATATATGAATAGGGAAACAGACAAAGCGTGAGGAGGAACGTAAAATGAGGAAGAAAGCAGACATGTTAGCGGTAGCTATCACAGGTGTAGCGAGACAAGGAGGGGAGATGGATAGAGGAGTTGAGGCTAGGATGAGCAGGGTACCACTAGGCAGAGATCAATGTGCATATTGTAGAGAGGAAGGACATTGGAATAGTGACTACCCACAGAGTGGATATATTGTAGATGGTAGACTAGATGAGAGACGGGGGCGAGGTGGTTACGGTGGTAGCTTTAGAGTACGAGGAAGAGGAAGTTTTGGAGGATTTAATGGAAATGACAGAGGGGGTGTTCAGGAATGAAGATATTATCCCCCTACTCAGAGACTTAGAGATAGGGAAGATAGAGATTTCGTGGGTCTGGCTGACATTGTCATGGAAGACTATTGATACCGACCGGGCTCCATCCCCCTTGGCCGAGCGGAGCCTATGGTCGATGTAACAATAGGGGTAAAGAGAAGTCCTTTCATGATTGATACAGGTGCTGAACATTCTGTGGTGACTAAGTTGGTAGCTCCTCCTTCTGGAAAGACTGTAACTGTAATAGGAGCTACTGGAAGAAGCACGGCTAGACCGGTTCTCAGGAGTCGCACTTGCATTTTAGGAGCCCATTTCCTATATAGAAGCACCAGTTCCTATATATTCCAGTGTCCAATTCAACTTCTAGGACGAGATCTATTATCAAAGCTTTAAGCTCAGATAACTTTTCTACCTAATGGATCAACGTCTCTGAAGTTTAATAAATCACCAGGCATGATAGCAGTATTGGTACCAAAAGAAGAAGAATGGAGCTTCTACTCTGTAATAACAAATGCAAACCCTTGAGAGGAATAGCTGCCACCACAAACCATGGTTTAAAAAAATGCACCTAAAGGCCAATTCTTAAGGATTAGACATAATTGTACCAATGACGAAGATTACATACATCAAGCCACAAGAATAAAAGGACAATTTGTAGAGAAGGGATATGAGGAAGACCAACTAACTATAGAAATGGAAGTAGTAAGAAAGAGATCACGACAAGAACTTCTAACATACAAATCTAAAAATTCAGAAGTGCATACCCAAAAGATCCCTTTTATGTAATTTCAATGGCCATAACAATAAAATTAGAAAGATTGTTAATAAATATTGGTACCTTTTACAAGAAGACCCTATTTTAAAAGAAATTTTACCGATACAACCCCAAATTATACACAGAGGGGCAGCAAGTCTCAAAAGGTCATTAGTACAGAGTAGCGAGGGCCCAAAAGTCACCAAACATATTTTGAACCAAGGAAGCGGTTTCTATGGCTTGGGTACCTGCCTAGCGTGCAAGTCCACGAAAAGTAAAAAAAAAAAAAGACACCTCACCAATATACAAAAATACATTAACAGAGATTTTAGTATTAAAGACCAGCTTAAATGTTTTTCGAAGGGTGTCATATATGTTCTAAAATGTCCGTGCATCTTACTTTATATAGGCCGAACCATTAGATGTATCCATGTCCGAATTTCAGAACACATTCGTAACATAAAAAATGGTTTAGAGACCCACAGAGTCTCTAACCATTTCAAAAAATACCACAACCAGAATCTAGAAAATATGTTCTTTTGCCCCTTAAAACTTGTTAAAAAAGATTGGAGAGTCGGAAATTATAGTAAAAAAATAGGGACAGAAGAAATTAAATTTATATTCAAATTTAACACACTGGTACCAAATGTTTTAAATTTAGATTTTGAGTTATGTCATTTTTATTAGGATTTTACTGTCTATTTAGAAGCACTTTGTATGCACTAAAAATTAACATTGGTATAGACCTGTACACTATAAAAATAAGGTTAGAGTTAAACATGCACCTGGTTAATACAGAAGATTCTATATATTTTTCACTTCTCATATTCATATTTCACACACTTATATATCAGCCATATAAGGTGGCAAAAAAACTTTATGCACTGGGTTAATATAAAAGAAGTATGCTATTTAGCTTATATACTTTATATATTGATAGAGTTGTTACATTTTATAACTCAAAATATTTTTTTTTTTATACTATAATACCATCCCTTATTTGCACTATATTTGTATAAAGCATAAAGTATACAAGTTAATATTTTTAATGATTCCTTAAGAGTTTGCACAATAAAGAACTGGATTAGAAACATAATGACAATAAGAAATGTGTTCTTTGAAAGAATTTCACTACGGAACGCATGTGAGTTCCATAATGACGACAGAGGCGCCAGAACGAGGACCCGGAAATGATGCCAGTGACGTTTGGAACGCACCGTGCGTTCCAAATGCCGATATCGGAACCCGGAAGTAAGCCGCATGAGCGGCATAAAAGGACGCCAAAGAGCCCACACATACCACCACCGACTGAGGAAGCCCCACATACGGGGCGAAATGCGTATCGGATTTACTAAGGACACTTGGACGCAAACATTGGCCCTTACCTTTTAGTGCAGTTTTATGAACTTTGACAGCCATTTGGCTGCTTTGGACTTTGCTTCTTTCATCCCTTTTTCTTTTTAAAAAAAAAGAGCAGTCCTTATACTTTTATACATTGTTTTATATATGTAATAAAATATATATTTTTTAGAAGTACCAATCTTCTTACCATTTTTATATCTTCAGTCCTGAGACTCCAAGAACAACTAGAAGAAGGACAGGGACGTCCTATACAATAATCCCACTGCACCACTCGTGGGAGCCATGTGATTATATTCATGGGTACAGGTATTTGACACACTGCTTCTTTTCTTTCAGATGCTTTCTTCTGCCTTCGACTTGCTGTTGAAAGTCAGTGCATCTTTGCTTTTCAATGGGAAGATGCTGCTACGGGATCAAAGTGTCAGATGACTTTGACCAGGTTGCCTCAAGGATTCAAGAATTCACCTACCCTATTTGGATCTGCACTGAGTCAAGATTTACAAGACTTCAAATCCATCCCAGGGGAATGTGTATTGCTTCAATACATAGATGATCTCGATAGCTGCAGTTATTAAAGAGATATGCCAACAAGCAACCCATGATCTACTCCATATTCTTTGGAGGGCAGGTTACAAGGTATCAAAGAAGAAGGCGCAATTGTGTCAGCCAACTGTCAAGTATTTAGGATTCCATATTTCTGAAGGTCAAAGAACAATAGGACCTGAAAGAAAAGAAGCAGTGTCTCGAATACCTGTACCCATGAATAGAAGACAAGTGCAAGAATTCTTGGGAGCAGCAGGATTCTGTAGGATATGGATTCCTAATTGTGCGATACTGGCGAAACCCTTGTATGAAGCTGTAAAAGGCACGGAACATGATCCCTTCCAATGGACCACAGAACAACAGAAGGCATTTGAAGATATCAAGTGCCCCAGCCCTAGGCCTACCAGATCACTCGCATCCTTTCTACCTATATGTGCATGAGCAAAGAAGAATGACCATGGGAGTGTTAACTCAGTACTTAGGATCATGGCAAAGACCTGTAGCCTACTTGTCCAAACAACTGGATGAGGTGGCTAGTGGTCTTCCACCTTGTCTACGAGCAGTGGCTGCTGCAGCTTTGTTGGTAGCGGATGCTGACAAACTTACATTGGGTCAGGAACTCTATGTGCGAGTACCTCATGCAGTACAGACCCCTACTGGATTACAAAGGTAATCATTGGTTCAGCAATAGCAGAATGATCAAGTATCAGGCTATGCTATGCGAGAATCCAAGAGTACATCTTAAGACTGTCAACAATCTCAATCCAGCTACCCTTCTGCCACAGACTGCTGAAAGTCAACATGACTGTCTGGTAATAATGGATGAAGTATTTTCTAGCAGGCCAGATCTCCATGATTTTCCCATCCAGAACCCAGATATACAGTACTATACGGATGGTAGCTTTGTAAAAGAAGGTATTCGGTAACCACCATAGACAAGGTTATAGAAGCACAGCCATTGTCGAAAGGGACATCAGCACAGAAGGCGGAATTAATCGCACTGATAAGGGCCTTGCAACTAGCTAAGGGGTTGAGAGTGAACATCTATACGGATTCAAGATTTGACTTCTTAACAACTCATACCCATGGTGCATTGTAAAGGTGGCAGAGGTGACACGTCGGATTCATCATTCTAGGGTTAAACCAGCGGCAGATTCCTGGCAAGCTACTCCAGATCATGAGAATCCTTGCAAGATCCGGTTGAAGCGCATGACCCAGTCGAATTAAGCGTGACTTGAGAAGTATGAGGTGATTTTTGTAGAATCGTGGTTGAAAGTTGCAGAGATCAACAAGTAGGTGTTTTGACGGTCATAATAAAGCCTCACCACCTTCCTACGTTTCATAGAGTATCTCGAAGTGACCTCTGTGAAGGTAAGGGAGGATCAGAAGTACTACAATCCTTGCAGCCCTCACAAGTGGGAAGCTGAGGTGCCGTCGCACGGTCGAAGAATTAAGATGAGGATCACAAGAATAAGGTGTTTAATAATGTGCTTTAGTATTTTTTGTGATTTTTCAGGAAGATAAAAGGTAAGGATATCCCAAGCTGTGTTAGTTGTATTAAGACTACGAAAACAGGTAACCAGATATCCCAGACCCTAATTTGGCACTCACAATATGAATGTAAGGGATATGTGTCTAGGTACTTAGATATCGATTTTATTGTGTGTCATCCGATATCAGGTGATCCTAAGTGTTTCGATCCCCAATTCCAATCCCGTACAATTTGCTTGGTAATTCGAAATAGTAACTCTCAGGGGACATTGATAAATAGGACTTTGATATGCACCATACATTCTACGGGTATTCTATTATTTGATGCATGTAAGGTGATTTTGGGTAGTGGAAAACCTTGGAATGTATGCGGTAATCTTAAATGGGAACGAACTTATGGGTTCAACAACAAATATTTATGCCCTAGTAAAAGATCTACTGATCCTGACTGCCCAAATAGAGACTTTAACTGCTGCCCATATTGGTCATGTGTAGGGTGGGCGACCTGGGGAAAGATAGTAGACCAAAACATGATTATCCAAAGGTTGCCCACTACACCGCATTGGCAGATCCAGGGGGGGCAACGGGGCAATTGCCCCCCCTCCCCCCGAGAAAATATAGCTGCCCGAGGCTCTCCCCTACCGGCCCATGCAGGGCTGGTGCTATCCAAGCACCAGCCCTGCTCATTGCCATCACGGTCCGGAGGGGAGATCAGTGATCTCCCTCCCTGGCCCACACAGGCAGATTGCTGGCTGCTGGCAGCCGGCAGGGGAGGGCGAGGGAGAGAGAACCCGAGGGAGAGAGAACCCGGGGGAGAGAGAACCCGGGGGAGAGAGAACCCGGGGGAGAGAGAACCCGGGGGAGAGAGAACCCGGGGGAGAGAGAACCCGGGGGAGAGAGAACCCGGGGGAGCTCTTACCTGCAGCTCCACCGGGTTCTCCTCTCGCGAGCACGGAGCGTTACCATGGCAATGCTCCGTACTCGCGAGAGTGAACTCTAGCCTGAGCTGCAGGTTAGAATTCACTCCCCCACTAGAAACACCAAAAAAAAGCAATGTCTCCCCCTTCCTCAGCAAAGATAAGAAGGAGGGTGGGGGGGGGAGGTTAGCAATACCTGTTTAGTTATGTAATAATAAAAAATAAAAATTATCTTGAATCTGCCCCCCTATCCCCACACACAAATAAACAGCCCCCATACACATAACCCCAAATACACACACAGCCCCCAATACACTTACTGCCCCCATACACACACATAGCACCCCTCACACAAAAACACACTGCACCACTCACACTGCACCTTTTACACACAAACACACTGCTCCTAATATACAAATTGCTACCCCATACACTGCACCCCTCTCACACACGCACTATCCCTCCATGCACATACTGCGACCCTCACACACATACACACTACAACCCCTATCCCGGCAGACCTATCAAATGTTTTTTTTAAACGGTTTGAATACTTACTCTGGGAGGGCGCCACAGCAACTCCTGACACCAAAACCACTACAGAGAGCTGTAGTGGTTATTGTGCCTGGATTGTTTCTTAAAATAATCTGCCAGTGCCCCTCCCGAGATTAGCTTCTGGATCCACCACTGCTACACCGTATTGTAAAACCATGGAATGTAATCCGTTTGGGAGTCTTTTTGGGTTTCAGATACATGGTACAGGAACAGATCCGGGAGCCATATTATATGTAGGTATTGAAACCGAAACAACAGCTGCTCAGACTCATCAGGTACTCCATTCCTTTTATGAGATGAGTGTTGAGGATAAAATTCCCCATAATGTTAAGAACCTATGTATTGATTTGGCTGAAAGTATTGCAGGTAGTCTTAATATAACTAACTGCTTTGTATGTGGAGGTACTAATATGGGAGACAAAAGATATTTGGTACCCTGGTTCTGAGAAAGATGAACAACAGATGCCTGCTCAGTCTGATCATCAAGTAAGTACTAGAGGTAAATCAGAATGGTAGTTAAAAACATTATAGGTCATGTATGTTTAGCCAAGAAAGGGCCACTGTATAATACATTAGTTGGCGAGTTAACATGTCTGGGACAGAAGGCCTATAATGCTGATACAAAAGATACTACTTGGTGGTCAGCTTCAAATGTCTCGGAACCTACTAATCCTGTTGCCAATTACACCAATTTGAAATAGGTATCTGTTACATCCAATTGGAAAGCCCCAGTGAATTTATACTGGATCTGTGGTAAGAAAGCATACTCTGAGTTGCCACAAGATTGGGAGAGAGCATGTGTGCTAGGTATGCTAGGTATGCTCAAACCATCCTTCTTGTTACCAATTGAAACGGGAGAAACCTTGGGAGTTAAGGTTTATGATGTAAATCATAAAAAGAAGCGAGCATCATTGAATGTAGGTAAGTGGGAAGATGATGAGTGGTCTCCCCAATGTATTATTAATTATTATGGACCTGCTACTGTCACGACAGTGACCCCTTCTCACAGAATGTAACCCAGAGAAGAACGTATACCGGACCTTAGAGTGGCCGGACTAACGTATAGAGTAGTCAAATGGATAGCCAGAGATCAAAGGAGTACAGAAGACAGATAAACGATAAGACCTAGCTAAAGTACAGGAAACCAGAGAGCAGAGTAGTCAAAAGGGAAAGCCAAAAGTCAATAACCAGGGAATCAACACTAAAGGAGAATATAAGCACTAGAGGTACTAACAAGAACAACACTAGGGCGTCTTGCAAGTGACAGGGGTGCCCTTTTATAGTGTGGGGTATTTTGCTTTAAAACCACGCCCCCAGAAGATTCGGGGGCGTGGTCGCGTGTGACAGACGTCGGCATTAGCTTGCCGGCTACGGCGCGCATGCGCCGTATTATAAAAACCATGTGCGGCGTGAGCGGCCGGCGTCAGAAGGGCTGTGCCGCTCGCCGGAAGTGGATGCTGTGCGGCGCGGGACCGAGGAGGAAAGGTAAGGCATCATTACTGTACCCCCCCTCCAGAACACCTCCTCTCAAAGAAACTGACCAGGCGGGAGGCGTGAACATCGGAAGCATCCATCCATGAACGTTCCTCGGGACCGTAACCCTTCCAATCCAATAGATATTGTAGTCTCCCTCTAGAAATACGGGAATCCAAAATGGACTTAACCTCATATTCGTCTTGCTCTACAACAACAGGAGGTAGAGGTTTCGAGGGACTTCCAGTAAAACGATAACAGATTAAAGGCTTGAGAAGAGACACATGAAAAGAGTTCGGAATCTTCATGGCAGATGGCAAATGCAGTCTATAGCATACAGGGTTGATGCATTGAATGAGTCGGAAAGGTCCTATGAAACGTGGTGCAAACTTCATGGACGGGACTAAGTTTTATGTTACGAGCACTCAGCCATACTCTATCCCCGACCATGAACGCGGAGGCACCCCTTCTATGCCTATCCGCATTGATTTTTTTTAATCTTGGCCCTTTGAATCAAGATCTGTTTAACCCCTAACCAAGTTTCCTTCAAATTCCGGACAGTGCTGTCAACACTTGGCATTCCAGTAGAAGAAAAGGAACTTGGAAGAGTAGTAGGGTTAAAACCGTAATTGATAAAAAAAAGGGACTGTGTTGAGTAGATTCATGCACCTGATTGTTGTGGGCAAATTCCGCCCATGGCAGCAAGTCAACCCAATCATCTTGATGTTCCGAAGTAAAACAGCGTATATACTGTTCTAGACATTCATTCATTCTTTCCGTAACCCCATTAGATTGGGGATGGTAGGAGGAAGAAAGACTAAGGTTGATACCCAATTGTTTACAAAATGCTCTCTCCAGAACAGTGAAACAAATTGCGGGCCCCTGTCGGAAACAATATCTTGGGGTATTCCATGTAACCGGACAACTTCCCTTATAAACACGGAAGCCAGTTCGGAAGAAGAAGGTAATTTGACAAGTGGGACCAGATGGGACATTTTAGAGAATCTGTCTATAATAGTCAATATAAGGCTGTGATTCTTAGAGCGTGGTAGGTCCACTATGAAATCCAAAGCAATACTTGACCAGGGTGTATTTGGAATCGGCAATGGCATGAGAAGACCAAAAGGACGGGCTTTGGGAGATTTTGTCGAGGAACAGATACTACATGCAAGAACGAATTCACGAACATCTTTCTTGTATGAAGGCCACCAGAACTGTTCCTCAAGCAACAATTCTGTTTTATGCATTCCTGGGTGCCCTGCCAATTTGGAATCATGCACAAGGGAGAGGACCCTGTTACGATAAGTTAAGGGCACGTACAATTTTCCCCGGGGAACAGTTAATGAAGAACGATCCTGGAATTTAGTAAGTTCTTCCATTAATCCCGAAGAGATTTTAGCATGTACAGTGGCTACTATGTGGTCAGTAGGGATTATAGAGGACAACACGTCTTTGGGGGGTGATAAATGCTCATATTGGCAGGATAGGGCATCAGCTTTCGTATTTTTCGACTCCGGTCCATATGTGACAATGTAATTGAAACGGGTTAGGAATAATGACCACCGGATTTGCCTGTCTGACATTTTTTTTTATTTCTCCGAAATAAGAAAGGTTCTTATGGTCAGTAAGAATGGTGATAGGGATGGGTGACCCTTCAAGCAAGTGACGCCATTCTTTAAGGGCCGAAATAATAGCCAACAATTCCCTATCTCCTATATCATATCTTTTTTCCGTCTCCGTTAACGTCTTGGAAAAGAACCCACATGGATGTAGGGGTTGATCATCAGAAGGTCTTTGGGATAGTACAGCACCTATACCGGTTTCTGATGCATCTACCTCAAGTAAAAAAGGACGGGAAGGATTGGGATGGCTTAAGACTGGGGCTGAAGAAAAAGCCTCTTAACTTCTAGACCCCATTCCATAGGATTCCTTCCCTTTTTAGTCATGGCAGTAATAGGGGCGGTTATAGAGGAGAACCCCGTAATAAATTTCCCGTAATAATTAAACCCCAGGAAGCGTTGGATGGCTTTCAGTCCAACGGGCAAGGGCCATTGCTGAATAGCTTCTAGCTTTTTTGGTTCCATTTGAAAACCGGTTCCAGATATGATGTAACCTAGGAAATGCACTTCCTCTTTATGAAACAAGCATTTCTCTAGCTTACAATAGAGTCCATTTTTTTATTAATTAGAAAGAACTAGCCTGACGTGTTTATAGTGTTCTTCCATGTTCTTAGAGTAGATCAATATATCTTCCAAATAGACTATTACAAACATCTGTAAATAATCCCTTAAAACATCATTAATTAAGTCTTGGAAGATTGCAGGGGCATTACATAACCCGAAGGGCACGATCCGGTACTCGTAGTGACCATAGCGAGTATTAAATGCGGTCCTCCATTCATGCCCTTTCTTAATCCTGATTAAATTATAAACTCCCTGCAAATCCAACTTAGTAAAAATAGTTGCTCCTTGCAACCTGTCGAAGAGTTCAGTAACTAATAGAATCGGATAAGCGTTCCGTATAGTTATCTTATTTAATCCTCTATTATCAATGCAGGGTCTTAAGTCTCCCTCCTTTTTGGAAACAAAGAAAAAAACGGTGCCCGCTGGAGATGATGATTTAGTAATAAACCCTTTTCTTAAATTTTCTTTAATGTATTCTTCTAATACTTTATTCTCAGCTATAGAAAGGGGATATACAGTGCCTCTAGGGGGCATAGTGCCGGGTAACAGGTCGATGGCACAGTCGCATGCACGGTGAGGTGGTAATTTTTCTGCCTCTCGTGGTTCAAAGACCGCTTTAAGATTAGAATATTGTTTGGGTATCTGAGTGGTTAAGGGTTCCATAGTAGGTATATTAATTAGACCTACTGGTTTAATTGGTGTAATACACCTTCTGAGACATGAATCTCCCCATTTTAGAATTTTTTTACTTTCCCAGTCTATTAAAGGATTATGCTGGGATAGCCAAGGGAAACCAAGGATAACAGGAAAAATGGGAGAAGTTATTTGTTGCAGGGTTATAATCTCCTTATGAAGGGAACCTACGGACAATACCAGAGGAGTAGTTTCTGGAGTGATCAGAGGTACCGACAGTGGTCTACCATCTATGGCCTCAACAGCCAAGGGTGCAGATCTAGTTTGGAAGGGGAGAGCAAGTTTTTTACCGAATTTGTGATCCACAAAATTCTCAGCTGCCCCAGAATCTATAAGAGCAGTGGTTGATACCCTTTTTCCTTCCCATTCAATAGTTACTGGTAGAAGAAGCCTAAGATCACTCTTATCATTGAAGGAGGACATACACATAACACCCAAGGCCTGTCCCCCTTTAGGGCTTAGGTGCGGGAGTTTTCCAGTCGGTTAGGACATGTAATGCGGGAATGTCCTTTCTTACCGCAATACAAGCATAACCCCTCCCTTCTACGGTATTGTTTCTCTGTCTCAGACAATCGTGTAACTCCTAATTGCATTGGCTCGGGAGGAGTAACCACTGTTTTCTCAGAAGAGGGATAAGTCAAGGCTAGACGTTCAGGCACCCTTCTAGGTCTTTCCCTAGTGTTTTGCCTATGCCGGAGTCGTTCGTCAATGTGAGCAAGATAAGTAATCAATTCCTCCAGAGTATTAGGTAAGTCTCTGGTAGCTACTTCATCTAAGAGTTTGTCAGACAATCCGTTCATAAATACATATACAAATGCTTGTTCGTTCCACCTAACCTCAGCAGCAAGAGTACGGAATTCCAGAGCATAGTCAACTAGGGAAAGTGGACCTTGTCTCAAACGTAACAGAGATTTGGCAGCGTTAGTCCTTCTCCCTGGGGGGTCAAAGGTTCTCCTAAAAGCTGCGACAAAATCAGCATAGTTAAAAACTATCGGGTTGTCGTTCTCCCATAAGGGGTTTGCCCAGACTAACGCTCGATTAATAGGGTGATTATATAGCCAATTTTAGCCCTGTCAGTTGGATATGCTCTTGGGTGGAGTTCGAAATAAATACTGACTTGGTTCAAGAAACCCCGACACCCTTTAGGATCACCCCCATATCGAAGAGGGGATGTAGCCTGATTGGAAGAGCTAGCAGCAACCATTTCTATAGGGTGTTCATGAGGTCTCTGGGTAGGGGTTTGCTCCTCCATTTGGAGATGAGCGGTACGGGTTAGTAAGGTTTGTACGGCTAGAGCGATCTGGTCCATATGATGGTCCAATTCCTCAAACCGAGTATCCGGTACTGGCCCAGGAGGGTTAACACCTGCAGGGTCCATGGCCCTAGTGTAATGTCACGACAGTGACCCCTTCTCACAGAATGTAACCCAGAGAAGAACGCATACCGGACCTTAGAGTGGCCGGACTAACGTATAGAGTAGTCAAATGGATAGCCAGAGATCAAAGGAGTACAGAAGACAGATAAACGATAAGACCTAGCCAAAGTACGGGAAAACCAGAGAGCAGAGTAGTCAAAAGGGAAAGCCAAAAGTCAATAAACAGGGAATCAACACTAAACGAGAATATAAGCACTAGAGGTACTAACAAGAACAACACTAGGGCGTCTTGCAAGTGACAGGGGCGCCCTTTTATAGTGTGGGGTATTTTGCTTTAAAACCACGCCCCCAGAAGGTTCGGGGGCGTGGTCGCGTGTGACCAACGTCGGCATTAGCTTGCCGGCTTCGGAGCGCATGCGCCGTATTATAAAAACATGTGCGTCGTGAGCGGCCGGCGTCAGAAGGGCTGTGCCGCTCGCCGGAAGAGGATGCTGTGCAGCGCAGGACCGAGTAGGAAAGGTAAGGCATCGTTACAGCTACCTGGGCTGAAGATGGTACTTATGGTTACCGAACACACACACACACACTAATATATATATATATATATATATATATATATACACACACACACACACACACATATACATATACACATATACATACACACACACACTGAACCGCATTATAAGATTACAGGCGGTGGTTGAGATAATAACCAATGAGACAGCTAAGGCCCTTAGCCTTTTGGCGAAGCAAAATACCCGCATGAGATGAGCCATTTACCAAAATAGGCTGGCTCTTGATTATTTCCTGGCAGTAAATGGAAGTGTGTGTGGAAAGTTTAACCTTAGTACTTGTTGTTTGCATATAGATGATGAGGGGCAGGCAGTGATTGACATTACCAGCAATATGGTTAAACTGGCGCACGTAACCACTCAGACTTGGAAGGAGTATAATCCAAATAGTTGGTTTGGGAGTTGGCATGAGCAGCTTGGTGGGATTAAGGCATTGGTAGGAGGAGTGGTATTTATTATTTTCTTATGCCTCTTCCTGCCGTGTCTGATTCCATAAGTAGTTAGGTCTATACGTAGTGTGAGCACTATAGAAAGGAAGACAGCTGCTCATGTAATGGCCATCTGGAAATATGAATCCCTAACCCAAAGAGAGACTATTAATAATCAGGTCGATGAGTGTTGAGAGGTAACAGAGTTAAGTTAGAATGCTTATAAGGTCTGTCCCGGCTCATGGTTACTTGAAAGGTGTTGGCAAATTATGATTAGTGATGCATGTGGAATAACTTTGTATCAGAAGCATCAAAGGAGGGAATGTGATGTGATTTCAACATGGTTCAAAATTTAGTAGGCCTGAAATCTCCATGTGGCATTTACAAGTACAGGTATTTGTTGTATCTTTTAGTTACATGTAGCTAAGATACTGTCATCAATTTACTGAGCATGTGCATCAATTGTAGTCACATTCCTTTGTCCTTAAAAGGAGTCATACGGTCTGCCCATACTAGGTGAACCTGAATATCCTGTTCACTGATTGTCTAAGGGTATGTGTGGGTGGAGCTATGAATGGGAGGAGTTATTGTTAATAAATAGCCTGTGCAAACTATGCTCTGGGCTCATACCTTTTGAACACAAGTTCAGTGTGAGACCCGATCAGTGTGTAAATAAAAGACCTGTTACTTCCTGAAGACTTGTGTCCATATCTCTATGTTTGGCTTCTGCGGTTTGTTCCTGTTATTCCTCTGGTAACACTATAAAAACACTGGACTTGTTTTGCATCTAAGACCGATGCTTTACCATCATAATATTTATGCTGATAAAGTGTCAGTCTTAGATGTAAAACACATCCAGTGTCCTAGATTTTGTACCTAATCGAATATTTTTTTCTCCTTTCAAACAGTACTTTGCGTTTTTGATCCAGGCGCCTTATATTGATCGAGGATCAGCTGACTACTCTCAGCCAACAAATGACACAAAGTGGAAAAACATTGCACATAAAAGAAGCCAGCCTGGAACTCTGCCAGCCACAATGATTTAAAAGTGCGCTCCATGCAGCATGACCACTTCAAACCACTGAAGTGGTGATGGTGCTCGCAGTAACCCTTTAACTAATCTGGTGTACAACCTTGTTATTGTGATTTATAAGTGAAATGCTCCGTGTATAAATAATACAGGATTCAGAGCAACACTTTCCACCTCTCAGCATGAATACCTGTATCAGGTTGGATGGGTTTAATGCCATAAAATAGTAATGTCAGTTTTCATGGGAAAGCTTTAAGACCTATTTCCAAAGCCTCCTGTGCACCCCCCCGGTTACTATAAGCAGGATTCCCCTTACCTCCAGCTGTCTGTGCAGCGATGCCCCGTTGCTCTCGGTTTTGCAGCTCTTGTACTGGGCGGCGGCAAGCAGCAGGGTCTTCATGCCGGACCTTGGGTCCATAGTCAGCCGGAAAGCTTACCGATTTTGAAAACGATTTCCACCTAACACAGAACGAGAGCCAAATCGTACTTCGCGCCCTAAGCTTTCATTTTGGTTAAGGGCAGGATATGACGTCAGACACGGAGAGCGACGGTAGCCTGCAGTGGTCAGAAATATTCTTCAAACATTTTTGTTGTTGATGGGGGTTTGCCAGTTATTGTGCGAATCTCTCTTTTTTACAGAGACATTACTACATTACCCAGACTAGTATGAGCTTATAGTAAAAAGTATTTTTACTATGCTTGTGTTTGTTAGAGGTTAAGGACAATTATAAATTACCTTTTCCCAATTATATTGTCACTATAGTTAGTTTTATTAAATATGATCAAATACATAGTGTTGTGTAATGATGTTGAAGCCAGTATTTGAGCAACAATCAGGTAAAATATATTAAGGTTCTAGAATAATTACCCCTTTACTGACAGATTTAATGAAACAAGTAGAATTATTATTCTAACCCTAAATGTCGATCTAAGAAATACAGCTTCAGATAAACACACACTGCCAGACATGCATACACTGATACACTAACTCATCGAATTAAATAATTTATATATTCTTTCTTGCCACATTTTTTTTTTTTTTTTATCATTTTGCTACAGGAGGGCGACTTCCCCAAGTTCCCTATTTGCATTCTTTTTATAATTGAGGATGTCCACATGTTCTGCACTTTAGGCCTCCCAGTTGGTTGGCGTTAGAGGAGGAACTGCTCTCATCGTGTTAGTGAACAGAGTGTTATTTAACCCCTTAGTGAACAGACCGTTTTTCAATTTTCTTAACGTTAAGAACCAGGGCTCCTTTTACATTTCTGCGGTGTTTGTGTTAAGCTGTAATTTTTCTTTTACTCATTTACTTTACCCACACATATTATATACTGTTTTTCCCACCATAAAATAATCTATCTAAAGATACCATTATTTTCATCATATCATATAATTTACTGTAAAAAAAAAATTATAAAACACAGTGAAAAAATGTAAAGAAAACACATTTTTTTGAACTTTGACCCCCAAAATCTGTTACGCATCTACAAAAAAAACACCCATGCTAAATAGCTTCTAAATTTTGTCCTGAGAAATACCCAATGTTAACATGTTCTTAGCTTTTTTTGAAAAGTTATAGGGCTATAAGTACAAGTAGCACTTTGCTATTTCCAAACCATTTTTTTTTCAAAATTAACTAAAGTTACATTGTAACACTGATATCTGTCAGGAATCCCTGTATAACCCTTCACATGTATATATTTTTTGAAAGAAGACATCCTAAGGTATTAAACTTGGGGTATTTTGACTCTTTTCATGCAACCATTTTACCAACAATCTATGCCATATTAAGAAAAATAAAAATAATGGGATATTTTTTTGACACACATAGCAATTTAAGAACACATGTACGGAGAACCTTAAGGGTTACTGCCAAAGAACATCCCAATATGTGTTCAGCAGCATCTCCTGAGTACAGTGATACCACCCATGTATAGGTGTGTTGGGTTCTCTGGGGGCTAAAAGACCTTATTTGGAGGGTGCGCATTCCAGTTTTCCAACTTGGAATTTTCACAGCTGGTCATTGTGCACCCATGTCCTATTTGGGACATTTTTGAATCCGGCCAATGTAATTTACCCCATCAAACCATATATTTTTGAAAAGTAGACACCCTATTTCAAATGGTGACATTTTAACACTTTCCATGCACTAATTCTACCACGAGTCTTTCTCAAACTTTTGGGTAGTAATTTTTTTGTGTTATTTTTCTCTTACATTGTACTTTAGGCATAGATTCTCAGTTCCTGTTATGTGTTACTGAGAAAAAAACACCCTAATATGTGTTCAGTAACATCTCCCGAGTACAACAGTGCCTAGGTTTTATGGGTTTTGCAAACTTACAGGGGTCAAATGTAGGGCTTTCCCCTTTTCCATGTTTGCACATTGAAATTTGCCAGATTGGCTTACTGGGCCTATGTTGCCTTTGAGACCGTATAGCAGCCCAGGAATTAAAATTAACCCCATCATGGCATACCATTTATAAAAGCAGACAACCCACGGTAGTCAAAATGGGGTATGTCCAGTCTTTTGTAGTAGCCACTTAGCCACAAATGCTGGTCAAAGTTAGCATTCATATTTGTTTTGTTTTTTCATTTTTTTACACAAAAACTGCACTTTTACTGGTGATTTCATCGTCATGATACGTTTTACTGTTTAAAACACTCATATTTGTGTTCAGCAAAGTCTCCTGATTATAACAATATCCCCATGTACAGGTTTTATGGTGTTTTGGAAAGTTACAGGGTCAATATAGGGCTTGCCCGATTCAGTTTGCCAGATTGGTTTGCTGGGTCTGTGTTGCCTTTTGAGACCATATGGTAGCCCAGGAATGTAAAATAACCTCATCATGGCATACCATTTTCAAATGTAGACAGCCCAGGGTATTCAAAATGGAGTATGTTCAGTCTTTTGTAGTAGCCACTTAGTCACAAATACTGGCCAAAGTTAGTGTTTTAATTTGTTTTTTTTTTGTTTGTTTTTTACACAAAAACTGCACTTTTACTGGTGATTTCATCGTCATGATATGTTTTACTGTTTAAAACACTCATATTTGTGTTCAGCAAAGTCTCCCAATTATAACAATATCCCCATGTACAGGGTTTATGGTGTTTTGGAAAGTTACAGGGTCAATATAGGGCTTGCCCGATTCAGTTTGCCAGATTGGTTTGCTGGGTCTATGTTGCATTTTGAGATCATATGGAAGCCCAGGAATGTAAAATAGCCCCATCATGGCATACCATTTTTGAATGTAGACAATCCAGGGTTTTCAAAATGGGGTATGTCCAGTCTTTTGTAGTAGCCACTTAGCCACAAATGCTGGCCAAAGCTATGTGTTTTTTTTTTCCAATTTATATTATTTTATGTATGTGCGTATGTATATATATATATATATATATATATATATAAATATATGCATATACACACACACACTATTATTTCCTATATATGTATAATATATTATAATTAAAGCATTTTATAATATATTATACATATATAATGCATATTTATATATGATTTCATTATAAGTGTATTTTGAGATATATGTGTATATATCTCAAAGTACACTTTTAATGAAATCATATATTGGAAGGCAGGGGCTGAAGTTGTGGGAGGGGCTATGTCCCTTTAAAAGGGACTCCCCCTCCTACCTAACTTACCTACTGGTCCAGATGTACTTTTGGACTTCAGGATTCCCTGAATAGTGGCAGTTACAGTGCTCAGCTCCTACCAACAGCTCGCCAGCTGCCTCACTCTGCTGAATCTCTCTGCCGCCCAGCCCGCTCGTTTTTCCTCCTAACAGTGAGTGGGCAGACCGGTATTATTGTACCGGTCCGCAGCATAGATTTAGCCCGGCCCGCCGATGTCCACCGCTTCACGGCACACACGGGGGTACAGCAGACCCCCCCACGGACCAACACGGAGGTCTGAGGAGCCCGGAACGATCTACACTGGCAGGTTTACCCGGTCACCGGGCAGCAGAACACACAGTGGGTACAGAGGTACACTGTCTGTATATCACATTAAAAGCATTAAGATTACTACTTGCCGGGTTCTGCCCCTCCCTCAGTAACAGATACCACGATGGGCTCAACGGATCCCAACTCCCCCACACCCCCGTCAGTAACAGATACCACGGTGGGCTCAACGGATCCCAACTCACCCCCCTTTTCCTCCCCCCCAAAAAATCACAGGGGCACGACAGAGTTACACCAAACACCTAAACAATACAACTCACACACTATTCTACTAACAAATTCTTGGTACCTCAAACCTCAGGTCCTCACTGGCATCATTACGCCGGATCGCAACTCTCATCCCCCCCAGCGTTGGGGTGGCCAATTTTGTCACAAACACACATCCCTGTCATACCCCTGCCAAATCACTGAACACATCCCCCCTCCCCCCCCCCCTCGCAGGGTATTACTTACCCGTCAGAAGGGGAATCACTCTCCCGGCCAGAACTCCCTCTACAGGCTCAAGTCTGCTACTGCCGTAAAGCACGTCCACTTTTTCAGCACTACAACAGCAAAGCAGGCGGTAACCTCTAGGGGCAGTATAATCAATCACAGGCATTTAAAGGGGAAGTTACATCACACATGTCTGGTCAATTGCAAATACAGAATAATGATGTAAATATTGCAGGGAAATTGGGAATGTTATTAAATACATGGCAGATATGTGGTAATAATAGAATATGCATAAAGGTCATGTATGATTTAGGTCATGTATGATTTTCCCTCTCGGGCGGTTATTTATGCTGGACAAGTTAAGTAACAACTGCTTGGGGAAACGTGGTACATATACATATATTGTCCCGATATATCTGTTGTATACTTATGCAAGGGTGTTGCATTAAATCTACAGATCTGCGTTCGTAATTTAAAAACAAATCTCAAAGTATTTTGTCGCCTTATAACTGATTCTTATTTCAAGGTTTTTTCCAATACTTAGACAACGACAAGGGGCTGGTTTCAGGCCGGCGGCCACTCGTTACCATAGCAGCTATCCTACACGGAAGGCGGAAGTCCAACTATCGCCCATAAGTACCCACTACCTGCCTCATCAGTCAGGCATGCAGAAGGTCATAGACAAGCACGGTGCCACGCTGAGTACTCTGAGCCACCACGAGACCACGTTACAATAATGCATAATAAACCTCGACAGTGGCACAACGGTCCAACACAGGGATATACAGTTATGTTAGAGATGGTTAATTATATTATGTAGTGCATTAATTATTGGTGATATTGGTCATACTGGTATACTTTCGTGGTTATAAACCTAGTTACAACGCAGTGTTTTGCTTTTAACTGGTACGGGTAATTTGTATCAGGGACAGTTCTCAAGTCATATCCTTCCATTGGTACGTGCAAGATGCCTTTCAATCATACGTTTCGTTACTCAGAAATAATACGGCACCCAGGGCACAAGCACATAATTGTATGCTGGGTACTACGGTACCGAGCAGACATTCACTATACTACCATAACTTATTCGGACATAGGTTACAGACTCAACATGCCAAGCTTAGACATAGAAACATAGAAATG